TACACACACACACATACACACATACATACACATACACATACACACACACACACACAAAATGAACTCGCTTTGCCCATTGTGTGATTCTTGTAGGCCCCGGGCCATTACTCTGAAAAGCCCTGCAGTTTTTTTTTCCGGAGAAAGGTGTCAAAGAGAACTGTCTGTGGAATAATTATCTTCAAACTCATTTGCATGTCGGAGACATTTTTGCTCAACTGACACATAACCGAGCAGCCTATTTGTAATACTTTGTCTTCCACATGTACTTATGTAGCACTGACCCTCCTGTGGATTCGAAAAGAACACTCAAACATTTGTTTCATTTTCTGGCACCTGTATTCAGAACCAAGTAACCCTGTCATGTTTACATTTTTATATTTTCCTCTATGTCCCTGCTCTTTACATCACGTTAATGTTTTCCTTCCTCTCTCTCCCACACTCGATCGGTCTTCAGGCAGAGAACCTGCTCCTGGACGCGGACATGAACATCAAGATAGCGGACTTTGGCTTCAGTAATGAGTTCACTCTGGGGAACAAGCTGGACACGTTCTGCGGCTCCCCGCCCTACGCCGCCCCGGAGCTCTTCCAGGGGAAGAAGTACGACGGGCCCGAGGTGGACGTGTGGAGTCTGGGGGTGATCCTGTACACGCTGGTCAGCGGCTCGCTGCCCTTCGATGGACAGAACCTCAAGGTCAGGAAGAGGAGCAAGTTTGTTTGTGCGTGTGTGTGATGTGGGTTACATAAGAGGATGTCTGTATTCTGTGGGTGGTTGTAGTATTTGTCATGCTGGTTTCTGTTCCTTTTGCCATCTAAAATGCAGAAACTAAATTCAGGAGAGAGTGAATGTGTAAAAGTGAATAAAAGCAGACCCAAGCACTTCTAATGGTGTTGGTGGTTTTCAGCACCCAACCAGGCGCTGAGACAAGTTGTTTTTCTTAATTATTCATACCGCCTATCACACATTGTCGCTATCATAAACATTCTGTCTTTACACTGATGAGTCACTGTGGAAGTGCAGACACACTTTGGGTGGGCGATATGACATTGAATGTGATTATAATGATATTAAAGGCCCTGCATCCAGGTTTATTCAGATTCCTTAACATTACTTCCTGCTTGGGTGAAGTTTTGTTTAAAATCTACATTACTGTTCCTACTATTAATTCAACAGATAGGAGCCTGACTGTTTTCAGATTCAACCCTATAGTAGAAGTGGGCTTAATTTTCCTTCCACAGATGAATATGAACAAAAAAACATGGACATTAGATAAAGTACAGTTTTCAATGCTTATATAATTTTGTTGATCTATTAAAGTCAAATGTATTTTAAAGAGGGAATTCAAATGTATTTGTAATAATATATTTTGTTAAAGTCCGCTCCAAACTACACTTCCACTGTGTTAGCCTTTTAAAATGCCTACCAGCTTGTGCTTGGGTGAATGCACTACTTGTTTCAGAAACTATGAATCATTTGGGGGTGTAACCACAGCTAATGTTGTCTATTGGCTTGCTCAGGCCACTCTAGATTACTGATGAGATTCAGAGTCAAGTCCTTTATCATTAGACACTGTTTCATAGACTCTCGTTTTCTGTAAATCGCTGGAAACAGTTGGATAGTCTGTTGCTCTCGGACAGAATCTGAGAACGTGAGAGAAAAAGGATTGTTTTGAGTCCACTGCTGACTTTAAATGCTCTTGTCCATCTCCAGGAACTGAGGGAGCGAGTGCTGCGTGGTAAATACAGGATTCCCTTCTACATGTCCACCGACTGTGAGAACCTGCTCAAAAAGTTTCTCATTCTGAACCCCTCTAAAAGAGGCAGCCTCGAGGTACGCTACTCTGACACACAAGAATACAAGCACAAGATAATAACTCATAAATCACTTTGGTCAGACTTATCAAACTCACTTTGGTGGGTGAAGCGCATACAGTACTATACTGCTCACCTGGACTTGCTTCACCAGCTATATGCGAGTTTGTTGCTGAAGTGTAAAGTGCTTTTTAAAGGCATAGTAAATACTTGTTAGTCTGAGAGTTATGAGTTACTAAATGTGGGAGCACTGAAGATAGTTGGACATTACCTAGTTTTGAATGGAAGCTGAAGGCAAACAACTAGTTGCTGCTGAGTAACAGGCGTCACTTTCACTTTACTAGTATTCATTTTTGATTAAAACATACTGTATTTTTGAATTTCAACAGTCTATGTTTGACCTGCTAAATGTAATGGCTACTCTGTAAAAAAAACAACTGAGATAAGACTCTAATGTTAGTGCTAGAATCGAGTCCTGTGACCGTCCCATTTACACCTACCTCAAAGATTGTCTACAATTGGTATAGTTCAGTTTTGCAGATGTTACCCTCACGTGCAGTGAGATGTCTTCCATCTGGAGTTCATTATAAAAGGTCCCCTGTTCACTTTTTAAGGAAGATTAATCTGCAATAAAATACACCCGGCTATTTCCCTTTAGTCCATGGTGGTGAAGTAAACAGATGAAAAACGCAGAATAAATTCATCATGCATCGCTGGCTCCTGCATCAAATCCATTGTATTAGTCATTTATCTTTGTGAGACTCTTTTGTACTAACCTTCCCCCACCCCCTTCTTTCTCTTGTCTCCTCTTTTATTCTTTAACCTTTCCTCCCTCCCCCTGCTCTTTACCCATTCTAATGTCTTTGACATCTTATCCTCCCTGTATCTGTCTGTGTGGTTTTCTCTCAGCAGCAAATAATGAGGGACCGGTGGATGAATGTAGGTCATGAGGACGAAGAACTCAAACCCTATATCGAACCCATGCCAGATTATAAGGACCCCAGGCGGACAGGTAGGAACGGAAACAAACTCAAAAATGGTAAATGTATTCCCTTCCTCACCCAAGCAAACACTCAACACATATTTTACATTTCTCAAGATTAACTATGTACCTACAGAGTTCCACCGTTCTAATTTTAAACACGCTTTGTGCATGCAGACATCATGCTGACGATGGGATTTTCTGCGGAAGAGATTCAAGACTCGCTGGTGAACCAGAAGTACAATGATGTGATGGCCGCATACTTGCTACTGGACTTTAGGAACAATGAGGTACGCTCTGTCTTAATCAAACCTACACACCTTTATTCAACACGCTGTAATTGGTTTGTCAGATCTGTCGAAGCTGCAGTTACTGGTTTTGTGAGCTGTTATTATTATTATTATTATTATTATGAATACTCTAATCATCACCTATTCACTGCTAATTATTCCTTTGAAAGAAAATATATTATTCAAAAATATTAAATTCCAAACAGAATATCTCACTGGAAGAAAATCTTAAATGTCAAAAAATTATTGATATTTTTGAGTGAGGTTTATAAATAAAAAAATTAAGAAACAAGTTGCACTCAATCTGCTCTCCTACCTCTGCGCATGTGAATCAATGTCTCCAGGTACCTCCAACTTTTCTCAATTCTAATGAACTTTAGCATGTTGTCTGTTAAAAATATCTATTTTAGTTTTTACATTTTTGTTTATGATGTTTTAACGTTGCTCTGGGAAGCTCTTTGTGTAGCCTTTAGGATATGGAGCTTTTTGTGTGAGAGATTTTCAGTATTTTGACAAGACGTTGATAGATCACCTTTAACTCTTAGAAACTGAAATGTCTCACTCTTTTTCTGGCATATAATAGACAAAAACGGATGAGTCGAAACTAGAAAGGTGATATATAAATAAAGTTGAGTTGTTGAACCCACCTAACAGTCTCTATGATACACATCCTTTGAAACCTGTTTGTTTCTCTTTGTCCCGCAGCTGGAAGAAAGTGGCATCAAACCCCGGCCAGGAAGTGATGTAAGCAACATTAATGCCCCCTCCCCGCCTCACAAGGTACAATGAGACCACATAACGTCTCCTGCTTACACATACTGAGGTCTCCTGACTCCAGCAGGTGAAAAGTGCAATGACTTGACCTCTTCATTTTTTGACAAATGCACTTTGGGAATTTAATCTCAAATTGCTCTCATTAAGAGTTTACATCTTTGACCTACATACAGGTACATGTGAAGCAGTGCCTTCCCCTTCTTTTATTTGAAAGTGTTGTGGGTTTCACATGTGAATGGCTTTATAGACACATAACAGCAGCAGCAGCTTCTACTCACGTCCCACTGAGTTCCACTCTTAAATAAACGATATCAAACTGACCTGTATGTCCATCTTGCCCCTCTAAGGTACAGCGCAGTGTGTCGTCCAACCAGAAGCCTCAAAACCGCAGAACCAACGACCAGGGTGAGACGGGTGTGTGTCGGAGAGGAGGGGTGATATAAGAGAGGGTTAGGAGAAGGAAACTGAGATGGGGTATCGTATTGAAATTCAGAGAGAAAAAAGTCAGTTCCTTTTAACATGTTTTAGATGGAATCTTATGATATGAATGATGCTGTATGCTGCTAATTATCTCCAGTCCTGTATCGTTAAATAGAAGATGTAATGCTTCTAAAGGTAGTGATAAGGTAAAATGTTTCAGAATTGTTTTTAAAATAAGCAATACATTGTGTTTTGAGGACTCATGTTGTAAAAGATGGGAGAAAGTTTGATTTAATTGAACCATTTAGAGTTTAATAACAATTTAGAGGTGACAGGTTACAAAGTATTAACTATCATAAGCACAATAACAGTGTTGGAGTTTTGGACAGTGAAAAACAAAAACCTTAGATATCAGGCTTCCTCCAACATATTGCTCATTAAAATTGTTATAATAAAAGAGAAAATCACACACAAGATATAGACATAAATATTTATCATAAGAGATAAAACAGGAAAAGGGCAAAAATGAGGAGACGCAGCAGACATCCTGAGTACATGGGCTTGATATATGTTGGAGTAAAGGTTAAAGTAAGAGAGATGGGCTGGGTGTGCAGTAGAATGATGAGGTAGAGAGTAGATAGGATTGATTTAACAATGGAGCCACACGAGCAGATTGAAAAGAAGGTCCGACTGATTTCTTTTGGAGCTGAAAGAAGACAGGAAGTCATAAATGAGCTGCAGAGCCGAAAGTGGTTGAGATGGGAAGAAAGGTCTTTGATTAGAGCACATCCAGTGATGGCCTTTCTCATGCACTCCCTCTCTTTCATTTTCAAGGCTCTTCCTACTCTAAGAGGGGGGGTCAAACAGACAACCGGACTGCAGGAGAGGATGCTGGGAGGAAAGGTTCATCAGGCAGCTCCACCACCAAGGTGCCGGCCAGCCCTCTGGTCCCCACTGACCGCAAGAAGAGTGCCACGCCCTCCACCGTGAGACCCAACACACACACTGCTTACTTCACATTCACAACACACAAACATTCAAATGTACAGACATTCAGATTCTCAACAAAAAGACATACTGTAATTGTAGCAACCTTAATGAAAGAGAAAACGAAAGCTACTTTTGATTCGTAAAGTAAGAGTTGCTCCTTAATGAAAGTAAAACTTCAGCTACATATTATCTTAGGTCCAAAGATCAAATCGAATGCTATATACTAGTTAAACTATCTTGAATAAACGGCTATATAATATAAGCGACCTTTAAGTGTGCGTCACGTCAATCTGATCTGTTATTTTAGTCATCTTTAATGAAACATTGTTCTTGTCTCATAATCACCAGTTATGTGATGCCAATTCCTAGTTTTACACACCCACAGTACTTTGTTATTCTCTTGGTGTTAAAGAGAAACTGTGGACCTTTTTCCCAGCACACACGTGTCGTGTCGTGTCGTAGTAAGGGAGGCACAGGTGTTACAGGCACAAGTGTTCCAGTCAGCCATGATGACAGTGTGACCGGCATCTACGGTACTAAGGACCCTGAAACTGATGCAGCCTGTGCTTTTCCTAGTGTGACATGTCAAAATGTCTTTTGTGAAATTGCCTTTTTGATTTTTCCGGGTATCAACCAACTCAACAACAAAACACTATGACTAAACCTGTTTGTCAGAGACCTTTCTTTAATGAATAAAACAATTATGACAATTTACAAAAAAGATTAGACTGAACTCTAGTTTAAAAAAAATACAAAAAACATAATCATAATAATGAGGTGCATGTGCTGAAACAAGCAAGGACATTTAACACGGGACTAAGAAATAGATTATGAAATCAACACTTGTAGGAACCTCTATAACTTCCTCTACAGTTCTGTCCAGCAGGGGAATTTAAAACAGATGACACTTTCAATACGACACCTGTTAGAGAATAAACTCAACTAAAAAGTTTGGAAAATTGTAAAAATATTGAGGGTATTTAGTGACTCTCCACTGAAGTGCTTTTATAGATTGTTTGTAGAACCCAGTAATGAAATGTGACGTCCCTACTCACCGTGGTTCACCTGTGATGCTGTCAGTTGCCTGATAAGACCTGTTCTTAATATCTGTGTCACCCTCCTGTTCATTTAGGGAGGGACCACTTTATGATTTTCATTAGCGTGTTGACTTCCTTGACATTGTGTAATTCCATGTATAGCTCCACCTCACCTCAACCCGAGAAGATGGTGTCGGGTAGTGGAAAAACCCTGTGAGGGAAAGAGGATTCTCTAAATGACAATTCAAGAACTGCAACAAAAGATTCAGATTTTTTAATATATATAGTCTGACCTGTATATAGGAAAATAGAAGGAATAAACTGTTAGCTATCCAAAACATTATGAATGCAATCAAATATAATATATTGGATTATACTTCACGCCTTTTCTGTGAATAATGAGTTGCCCAATTCGATTTTTAATTGGTATGATTGTGCAGTACCATGACAAGCTGCAGGAAATTTAATTTTCTACATGAAATGCTCTTAAGGCCCGATTGTCATGTAATTAATTTCACTAATCCGTGCCAATCACGAAGCTTGCGGGACGCTTTTTCCTGTGATAATAGATCACTTTTTATCATCCGACTTAAATCACTTATCTTTCAATGTCTTGATCCTAAACATTTCTATATTTCTAACATTGCTGTTCTTTTCCTCCTCTCTCCCTTCAGAATAGCATCCTGTCCACCGGTACCGGTCGTAGTCGGAACTCTCCTCTGACTGAGAGATCCACGCTGGGCCAGGGCATCCAGAACGGCAAGGACAGGTACCCACACACACAAAGACACATGCACACACGAGGTAAAAAGAGACGCACCACTGGTGTCTCACACACTCTATTTCAAGGAGTCTCAGTGTTAGTGAGGATGCACTGCACTTACTCATAAACACACACACACTCTGGTTTGTGAATGAAGCCGGCCCGCAGCTGTCTTGGTGTCTGAGCTCCAGACCTTGGCCGGTCTCTCCAATGCTCTGCCAGCTGGCTCAGGGAGGCCCTCAGCTCTCTCCCCCCGGGGTGGGGTGAGCCCTCCTGGAAGAGGAAATCTGGCTCCCTTGGGAATTTAGGCCAACCCTTCAGTAGATTACAGATTACCCCTGGTGGTGGAGTGCCATTCAGAGCACAGGCAGGGTTCGATGGACACACAACCACTCAGTAAACACACCCGCAGGTTGACATATGCTAACACACAGACCTCTTTTGGCATTAAAATCTAATCCTTCTCCTTTTAACAAAAATGTTCTGCTCCAATGAACTTCCCCCAGTTGAATCAAAGTTTTTGCCCAAAGTCCAATCAGGGAAAGAAGGTTTTATTAGGTATGAACCTCAACAAATGACAATCATCTTAAAGTAATAAAGAGTCAAAACAAGCTTACTTTCAGCCATTGGGTTTAGCCATAAATCAAGCCTCGCCCTCCTTTTTGTGTAATATTCCCTCCCTTTCCCCTCGCTCATTTCATGCTTCCAGATCTCCTTTTTTTTTACCACTTCAAACAATTCCAAAATAAAAATACTACATTTCGGAGTTGCTCGATTGTGGGTTAATCTTTATTTTATTATAAAAAAAAACTTTTTTGCGGTACTTTGAGTAGACCCGGGATCGTACAGTGCCGAATACGCGTCCACACATACCACCATCACTCATGCTTAACCAGCCATATGCTTTGTGTGCTTTCTCATGAACATTAAACATTAAGCCAAACCATAATCCCTACTGTGATGCAGTGTTCATTGTCATTACTGCTTTATTGCCTGTTCATGATTCTCAAATGACCTCTTTGTCCCTGGAATAGTGCCTAACCTATAACATCATTTAAAATGTTGTATTGAATCCTGATAAATGTGTTTTTGTTCCTAGTCTAAGCACTATGCCCGTGATGATGAGGTCATTTGAGACAGCATTTTTTGGGTTGTTTTTAGCACTAGGTCTAATAGACTCTGCTAACTTAGTTGTTGTCATCTGCTTTGATTTTTAAAGTAACTTTATTTGATCAGCATTAATGCTTTGAAGTTTGGGCTTTTAAACATGTTACACCCCCCAACCCTCCCAATTCTCTCTTTCTAATTGTCTTCGTTTGGTGTTCTTTCGTCTGAGCTCTCAGTCACATTTTCTCGGCGCCTCTTACTTTTCCTTTGTGTCGAGTTTCCTATTTTCCTCCTTGTCTTTATATAAATCTTTCTTATTATCCCCTCTCTCTCTAAGGAGATTAGGCAGACTTGTGATGGAATATTAACTCTTAGTGGCATTATATGGTCCCTGTACTGCCTCCTAATAGGCTTACATATACACAGAAATATCTACACAAACTCATTGACACACACACAGGCTTAAATATACATGTCACCCATGCTCAATCGCTTGCCACACGCTGGGCTATCAGTGAATGCCGTTATTTTTCCATCTCTAGCCGCACTAATCTCCATCGGAAAGAAAGTGTGCGTTTGTCTCGGTGTTTATTTTCTGTGTAATTAGCAGCTGTTGGTTGACCTCTATAAAAGTGACCCTCTCTCTGTTGCTCATTCCTCTGCCCTCTCTTCGTCTCTCTCTCTCTGGTACCACTCTGCGCTGTCTCTCACTGTGTGTGTGTATAAAGTCAAGTCAGAGCTGTCGGTTATGTGCGGAGCTTTATAGCTAATTACGAGAAAGTTCAGGAAACAGGCAGTGCTGTTTTTGCTGAAGTTATTCAATAAACGATGCTTTGTTACACATCTTGTTTAGATTGTTAGCATTAGAAAAGGATTGGAGAGGAATGGGACAGGTCAGATCTACAAAATGTCGAGTTCAGGCGTCAGAGTGATAATTCTTAAACAGAACAATGAGAGAAGCTTTATTTTCTGCCAATCATCTACTCGTCTCATACAGAAAGTCAGGACCCTAACTGTAACCTGAAAGGGAGCACCAGAAATGTTGGCTTTAATATAGATTTTAAATATTTATCTCGGCAATGTAGCAAACTTGATTGAATTATTTCCTATTAATGATTCCTTAATCATAAGTTAATTTTTCCCAACATTCAGTCTGTAAAATATCTAGAAATGTATACTTTGCTGAGCCCAAAGTGACATCCACAAACTGCCTTTTTTGTCCAACCGTCACTCAATTTATTTACATCATAATAAACTCAACAAGCAAATATTCCCAGTGAGGGAAAAAACAAAGAATTCATTAAAATTGGATGTTCGCATATAACAAATATTTGTATGGCACAGTTCTTTACAAAAAATGTATACTGCAGATATCTTCAAATAAGCACTTTGTACCTTAAGATGGATAAACAAAGATATTTACACGCTGAAAGGGATCCGTTAGACAAATGTAGTTGGAGTTAATCCTGCGTAGCAATGCTTTTCACATTTCTGTAATGTTTGTAACCTGACTTTGTCCGCATTATTTGTCTTGAGTGATTCCAGTCTTTCTAGCCAATAGAAAAGTGTGTTGTGTGTTTGTCTTCTGTGTGCTGCCTTTTTGTTTCGGGTAGACTTCACATGAAAACAGAAGAGGAACACAGTCAGCCTTTGATGGTGCCCTCTGATTGTTTTTTTTTATGTGAAAACACCATGAAGCAATGCTAACAACAAAAAAAGACCAACTTTTCTTCTTTGTTCCTGTCCTTTCCGCTGTGTGTTTTCTGTCTCTTTTTGTCTCTACTTCCTCTGTTATCTCCCCCCTCCCCCTTACTGTGTTTTAATAAGTGCTGCTTCTAACCATGCTCCACCTCACCTCCCCGCCCATCCACACACAAACCCCGCCCACTGTGTTTGTGTGAATGTGTGTATGCTTGTGTTTGTGTCACCTTTTTGGTGTGTTTGTCCCGTGTCTGTCACGTTCTGTCGGTGTGTGTGTGTGTTGGGCGGGGTATTCCTCCAATCCCTCCCCCCTCCTCTCAGCCTAAACACTCCGGGCTCCCGCGCCTCCACTGCCTCGGCTGCTGCCGTCCTCTCCTCCTCCTCCTCCTCCTCGCGTCCCCGTCATCAAAAGTCCCTCTCCTCCTCCAATCATCCATGCCCCTCTGACCTGCACGCACCACGGCCCAGGCAAGTCTCTCACTCACACACACATACACACACACACACGCACGCACGCACGCACGCGCGCGCGTGCGCGCGCGCGCGCACACACACACACACACACACACACACACACACACACACACACACACACACACACACACACACACACACACACACACACACACACACTCAAACACACACTCTCCCTGCCTCAGCCCCTTCCAGCTCATTAACTCGGCACAGATCATCATCCTTCCCGCAAGAACTGGATGGACTAAAAGGAAAGAGGAGAGAAGAAGGGATCAAATGTGGGCTCTGAAACCTTCCATCACTGCTGCATTAAAACAACTCTTTGATGACGTCATAGTGCTTTTAAGACATAGAAAAAGCCTTTCACAAAGCAGGGAAATGTATCAAAGAGTAGGTGTTTTACCTGAAACAAAGAGCCCCACTTGCCAACAGACACCTCACTTACATTCACATTCACATGCATCTAATTTATTCTCAAATGTTTTATAGATTTTTGTTTTGGAATGGTCTTTTTATCAACCTAAACCTGCCTCCTGCATTACTGGGTGTTGATATCACGAAAAGAGATCAAGCCTTTCCAAAAGGGTAAATTGGTGATCGAAAATGATGAGTCACTTGTGTGCAGTTTTGGAAAAGTATGCAATTAAATCTGGCAAACCTCCTATCTATAATTGTAGTGTAGCAGCAAATAGACGGCGTTAAATACTTAACATGAAACCGTTGTGGAGTTGCTGGTGATATCAAGGGTTGTTCTGAGTTTCCACATTTATATATTTACCGCTACAGCATCACCATAGTGAGAGGTCCAGCTACCATAGACTTAACAGTTACTTAGCAACAGCCAGTACAAGCTAAACTCCGCAACACTGGCCAATCAGTCACTCGCATACTTCACACCACCCATAACTGAGCAGTCAGCCTGAGAACTAGATGAGCAGGTTTTTCACTGCAGCGACCTCCGACAGACAGGAGATGTTTTGTTTTGTTGTTTTATAAGGTGTTCTGTTTCCTGGCTTAAGAGAAAAACAGACTCATTCAGAGAAAAGACACGTATGAAGCAGGAACCAGGTTTCCACACACAGCTGGTGAACTGTGTGCAGGCCAGCTCCTTATATAACATTGGTTATATGCTGGCTTAATACGGAAATGTGCTGTACATCTGGAAACTTAGTCTAAGAAATCAAATATGTAAAGAAAGTTGAATGAGATAACATTTCCTAGAAAGCTTATGTTGACATTACAGAAGTAAAGTGTGGAAAAGTCCAAAGTATAACCTCAACCTATCCCTGATTAATTGACTATGTTGTTGTAAAAAAACATTATTCAGCGTCTAAAACGAAGTTGACATTTGCAGGAACATTTCTAAGCTGTTCAGACCTTTACAGCTGACCTGCTAACTGGTGATCTTGCCCACAGAAGGGCATTAGTGAGAGTCTGTGTCAATTGTTTGGATGCTGAACAACAATCTCCTAGGCAAATAAGAGTTCCGAATGTATGTGGAGCAGAGAAAGTCTAATGGTGGTCTGATAAAGAGTAAAGGTGTACTTTATCTACGCAGATGGATAGTCAAATATTAATATTTTTGAGATTTTAATGGACAATATATTCCTAATATCTGGTAAACACAGTTTCATAGAGTGCTTCTCTGAGCCTGGCTCCTCTGCATTCTGATTCCAATGGATGGACTGCCAGCTTAAATAAACTAAAGTGTTCTGTGGTCAACAAAAAATACAGATCTAATAATTGTGACGATGCATGTTTTTTTCTGAAATGGTATCTGACTTACTGTTGCATGTATAAATGTATAATATTATGTAATATGCATAATATACATTTGGTTTTCTGACATGTTGTGTTTGTGGACAGAAGGATTTTCCCAGGGTGTACAAATCAAGCTCAATCCTGTGTAAAGAAGTAATAGTAGCAATACATTCCCCACAGCCTCTGTTGTTCTCAGAGTTGGCTGAGTGCTCTCATTCACACTCAATCTGCTTTGTAAACCCCCCTTTTAGTTAGGAAGTTGCCTGGGAAAACCCCGTCTTCATTAATGTAATGTGGCGTGTCTCGTTGAATGAATGAAGCAGTAATCACCTGACTGTCTGGTTGATCATCTGTGTGTGTCGGCCGTCTTTATACTTGTCTTTTGGTGTGTTGTTTAAGTTGCCTGCTTGATAGTGTCTGTTTCAAAGGCTGCTTTGATACAGATATATTTTATACCACTTTTTCTGACCCTTGAGTCACTTTATACCGTGGACATTATACATAACATTATAATGGTCTTTGAAAATGTTCCTTAGCTACTTTAAAGTGGGAATAAGATTGAACTTTTAGTTAATTTGGCCACTCTTTTTTTTACTGGTTACAGCATCAGTTTAATACAAGTCCCTGCAAACTAGGAGTAGAAAAACAATCCTTTACTTAAATATTATAACAAGTGGTATATTAGTTCAGAATCAGGGAACCCAGCCTTTCTTGAGACGGTTGTATAGTGGAAACCCACCACAAATGTCAGACTGGCCCTCTGGCTGTTTGTGCTTTTTGTCTGCTCCATGTTGAAGTCTTGTTCTGTTGCATGCGTCGTTCAGCAGTGAGCTTGGGATGTTCAGAACCTGGTTGGGAACGCTGGAGAGAAGGTACCGCTCCAAAACATAGACTGTACCCTCAGTGAGGGTTAGGACTCTTTTCTCAGAACATAGTCTGTGACCTGATGTCCCACCCACTCCTTTTTTATCCAGCTGTCCCCAATTACCCTTCTAAAAAACACCACTCACGAATTAACATCATTTTTAACAACCTGTTTTACTGCACGAGTATTCATGATGTACTGTAATGAGGCAGCAAGGCTGTACAAAGCCAGCGCCACATTTGTATAACTTAGAGGTGCTCTGGACTATATGCAAATTAAGTATGCTTACTAGCATGAAAATCATCCTGATGACACACCTTCTGCTGATGATTACAGGATGACACTACTCTTCTCCTAAAGTGACAATGCAGTGCTTTTATATTTAAAACAAAATGGTAAAGCTATTTTTCTCCTTGCATTCAACAGCCAACTTCATAATAATATGTGAAACTGATCTCCACTAACCTCTTGATCCAGCCTTTTTATCCTATCCATAGAGGATCTGTGTGTTCGTGCACAACTTTAACATATCCACATCAAATGGAAGGACTTGTTAAAGCTGTTCATTACAGTGTTAGTGTGCAAACTGGCCTCTTTCCTTTGTAGAGTTTCAGAGGTCTGCATGGGACTGCTTTAATTTGTTTCTCATTGGAGTAACCTTGTCCTGCAAATGAAACGTGTGCTATGTATTATGGTAGTCCCATTGCAGCCCTCTAATGCAGACAGTCCACTCATATTAACTTCTAGTTCATTCCACTCTGTCACTGTTTTTAGCGTGGGTGCTTTTTTGCAATTTCTGTCTGTTGTGTTTGCCATCTGCTGCAGGTGTACTGCTGGAAAATGCTCACACACAAGCCTACAAAGCAAATGCAAGCTTTAAGCTCAAGTGTATGTGTTGTTTATTTTCCTGTGTGAGAGAGAGAGTGCGCTTGGAGTTTGTGATGCATTGCCCCACGGTCAAAGCAAAGAGGATTAGAACTGTGTCTCTGTGACCTAAACGTGGCCCTAAATATTGACTTGGCTGACTTAAGGGATTAAATGAAACATCAGGATTAGCAGACGTTGATACTTGTATGACCTTACACTCAGGTAAGTAGCACTCCAGACGGAACGAGATGTTTGTCTAACTGTTTGTTCCTCTCCTCTTCACTCCCATCCCCTCTCCATCTACTTCCTCCCACACCACCTTGCTTTCTTCTTCTTCATTTGCACCTCCTCTCCTCTGCTGCTTCTCTCATCACACCTTCCAAACTCTTCTCCTTCCCACTCTTCCTCTACAGTGCCACGACTCAGCGGCCTCCCGGTGCCTCCCCCTCTGCCCACAACATCAGCAGCGCTGCCGCGTCAGACCGTACCAACTTCTCCCGAGGGGTGGGCATCCGCAGCACATTCCATGCAGGCCAGCAGCGGGGGGCCCGGGACCAGCAGGGCTCCGCCTACCCCGGGGGCCCGGCGTCCCCGTCACTGTCACATGGCAACAGCCAGGCCCGGAGGACACACGGAGCCACGGGGATCTTCAGCAAGTTCACATCCAAGTTCGTACGCAGGTGAGCGGCGGAAAAGAGAGGGAGGAGCGTGGGGAAATGTAAAGTGGGGAAAGTTACAATTATACTCGGGGAAACATGTGGCAAAAGAACATTTGTATATTATCATGCAGTACTTTTACAGATTGAAGCTTTCTCTGAGTAGTTAGGTTTCAGCTTTAAAGGAGAAAATGACTAGGTTTACGTTACAAGTCATTTCATGTGCTCGTTTCCTCCACCGTTCATCTATATCATCACTGGAGCATTTCTTTAGTGGGGCTGGTCTCTCCCCTATCACTAAACTTGCGCTGATCTGTGACTCTGCTCAGAGTAGAAAGGGAGAGGAAGGGAACAGCTGTGGCTCCTCTATAATTTTGCCTGCAGAGGCGGTGGCTGAGGAGCAATTTTGGTTTCGGTTCCACGTCTGGCCCAGTTTTCATCTCAGTCCTCCACTGCAAGGTTGCAGCCCTAAAACTGCTCTCATGGGTATCTCGTTGTAATCAGAGCTAAACTAGTTTTATGTAGATGTTTTTGAATTTCTCTCTGGCTTTGTCCCTTTGATCTGACTCTGCTGTGTAAATACAGAGAGGTGAAGACGGCATTGTGGTGACAAAAGTGGAAGGGAAGGAAAAACCCAACAAGTATCTACTAACTCTTTGAATGAACTGGCCTGATGTTTCTCCTTGTCTGCATTGGATTCTACTAGTTTCTATAGAAAAAAAGGTTGTCTAAATCCTTATAGAGCATGATGAAGTCTGTACACACCAGTCAGAATGAGAGGACAGTAGTGCACAGGAGACAAAGAACTGGCATATTATTATCAGAGAAGGAATTGAACACGTGGAGGAGAGGAAGTGACAGCAAGTCAGGGTTTAAAGGGGGAAATGTGTGAGGAAGGGAGTAAGAGGAAGAGTGTACGCAATGGAGCTTAAAAATAACAGAAGTTGAGCTTTGAAAGCTACAGAAAGTGTGTGTGTGTGTGTGTGTGTGTGTGTGTGTGTGTGTGTGTGTGTGTGTGTGTGTGTGTGTGTGTGAGAGTGTGTGTGAGGTGTGTGTCTGTGTTTGAGAGTGTGTGTGTGTGTGTGTGTGTGTGTGTGTGTGTGTGTGTGTGTGTGTGTGTGTGTGTGTCGGAGGTACAGGCGCAGCCACTCTCTAGGCCTCCCACTCAGAGATACTGTAGCTCCGTGGCGACAGTATCCATGGTTACACCGGAGATATCACTTTTCCCTCAACTATAAATACCGGTAGTGGGGACACCTTGACACACACACACGCAACTTGGCATGCTGGTAGGAAGTCGAAGTGGTGGAGACAGAGAGATTGTGTTGCATTTGTGCAGTTTGACCACACACACACACACACACACACACACACACATACATAACACCAAAGCTATGTGTTTGATTAACATATCATATAACCTCATCACTGCACTTTTCTGCTTGGTCGGTAGTCCTTCACACAAATCAGTGTACTTGCATGTGTGTGTGTATGTGTGTGTGCTAGATTAAGTTTCTCAATGTGTGTTCAAGATTAAGTTGTTGCTTAACTTGTGCTTTTTCATTTGAAATGTGTCTTTGTGTGGAGAGGTGGATTTCTCTCCCCTCCTCCATGTGTTAACTCCTCACCTCACACAGACACTTTCTTTTCAGGAAGACTCTAAATGTGGTGGAGTGCTTCATTTTCATTTTGGGATGAGGGAGGGGGGGGTGACTGTTCAAACTGGGTCTCTTAATGGAATGTTCCCACAGAGCTCATTAAATCCTTCTTAGGTGTTTTTGTGTGCGATTAATAATGTCTGTTCACACCACACGTGTACGGATTGCAAGTCGACGTCATTGACAATGATTTTTGTTTTTATTTTCCGTTATTTAATGTTGCTTCAACCCCAAATGACTGTGTTGGTCAGTTTGCTACTCAAAAGGGCAGCTTGTCTCTCTAATTCTAAACGTTTTTATATATACGTTTGTTTCTCTTTCTTTCTTTATCCCTCTTTTGTTTTTGTAGAAATCTCTCGTTCAGGTTTCCAAGAAGGTAGGCAACACCCCCAACGTTAAATATAACCCTTGATATATACCCGTATACTCTCTTCTTCATATATATTTTACATATATATATATATATATATATTTCCTCCCCTTTTGGTGTTTCGTGCAGCTTTTTGTTGAAATCTTCCTTTTTTGCCTTGAGCCTTTATCTTTTCTCCTTTTAATTTTTTCTGTGGTTGGCCCCTTTTTTTTTTATAGCCTTCTGGTTTTGTGTGTTTTGGCCCATTTTTTTATTTATTCTTTTTTTTTTGGACTAACTTCCCTTCACTCAGCCATACTTAACTCACTCACTCCATCATCACGCGGCACAATAACACCTCACCCTTCTTCCTCTTCGTCCCTCCCATCCACCTCCTCATCCTCATACCCCTCTTTTCCCATGTATTTACTAGATAGTGTGTGAGCTTGTTTCCCCCTATAAAGTCCCGGATTTAGGTCAAGTCTTAATGGTGTAATAGATCAAACTACTCCCTTTTTTATTCTCTATTTCTTAGCTTCAGATGCAGGTAACAGTGTCCTAATTTGAGTTTAATGGAGATCTTTGTTTCCTAATCCTAAAAGTAATGATGTAATATCCTAAGTATTAGTATTTTAGTGTTTAAGCGTTCTGTCATCTTAGTCTTGTCTTCCTAGGATTGTTGCTAACCATTATCAAAGCTAACGCCACATACCAAACTACCACCCATCTCACCTCTGCTTTCATCAGTTGATGACTAGACTTTCCATTAAAAGCTACTTTTTAGTCGTTGGTGTACGTTTGTGAGGATCCCACAGGGGAGGACATATATGATAAGATATATAATGGTTGAGGAGGAGAGGACCCGGGAGGGACGAGGTCGCAGTGTTTCTCAGGCTGCACTCTTTTCTGGAGGCTGCATACTTCCTTTTCTCTTCCATCGCTCTGTTCTCACTCTGGCACTGGCTCTGTAACAGCAGCAGCAGCAGCAGCAGCAGCAGCAGAACTGGATGGCTTTGACCTACTCTGGCTGGAAAATACCCTTTCATGCTGTCAACTCACACAGATGACACATGATGCACACACACAGACATAAACACACATTTTGTCTCAATGCTCATATAGATGCTTGCACTAAAACATGACGCATTGATATATGTACATAAACACATTTCACAACCACATGTGTCTCACTTGCTTTTGAGTGCTTTTTACCAGCAGGTTGGTCAATGGTCCTCTAATATGGACCATTGCTCCACCTGGTGGTTAGAAGTTGTACTATTTTTATTATTATCAGAGTAGTGATACACTATCTCACCTTTGTCCTTGTAAAGACTTCTCATAAATCTATACATTTGAAATATGAGAGTAATGAATAATAAATAATTAATCTGCCGTAAAATGACATTTAGAAATAAATGTATTTACATTGTTCTCTATTTTGGGGAGAAGTGCTAAATAACTTAAGCAAGATATTAAGACTTTATCATTTCTTCCTTTTATGTCAAAGAGCCTTCCCCTGTGAGCTGTTTTGCATCCCATCATATCTAGCTAAATCATACAGAGCCTGCAAAATGGCACAAATGACCTACTTTTACATTATTCACCAATTATGTTATTTGAGAAAAACCCTTGTGTAACATTTCTCCACTCCTCCCACTTGTCATTTCCCATGTTTAATATGATTTAACCATGTTTCTGTTGCAGCAGGTATTTTACATGTTTTATTTTAATGGGGCAAAAGAGGAATGATGTCTTTTCCCACTACAAAATGAATTTAAGACCAAAAACTGTTGAATTTGTCATGTTCGTGTCACTTTCCTTCCATTGTCTGCACGTGTTTAGCTGTCTTTCGTTGTCGTCTGCTTTTCTCTGTTGAATTTGTCTCGTGTGTTTTCAGTCTGATGGTATGAGAGAGACCTTGTGAGTGTGTGTTACATATGTGTTATAATATAGGATTTTTAAACAGCCTATGTGTAGGTCAAATGTTACTAATACAGGTTTTAATGCAGTGCTGGGATCAATAATGTTCCTAACCTCCTTTAGTTCTAACGACTCGCCCTCACCGTGCCGACTGTTCTGTTCCAAACCATTCCATTCCGTTCCACATCGCTCCATGTTACATTGTAATACCCACATTCCGTTTTGTTCCAAATTTCTCCATATAACATTATGTTACCAACATTCCATTTAGTTGGTACCATTTCATTTTGTTCCAAATTTCTTAATAACATTGTTACCAACATTCCATTTAGTTGGTACCATTTCATTTTGTTCCAAATTTCTTAATAACATTGTTACCAACATTCCATTCTGCTGGTTCCATTCCGTGTCAAATTGTTCCACGTTAGATTGTTTTACCAACCATTCCATTCTGTACCAAATGTTTCCATGTTACATTGTCACCTAACATTATATTCTGTTGGAACCCATTCCATTCTGTTCCAAATTGTACAATGTTACATTTTGTTAAAAGCATTCCATTCAGTTGGAACCCATTCCATTCCATGCCTTTCCACTCTGATCCAACAAGCAGAAACGTTGACATTTTTTCAAACTTTTCATTCAGTTGAATTTCTATTCAAACCATCCTCCGTCACCCACCTGGTTGCACCAGCTTCTTCTCATTTCCTTGACCACATTTCCCCAAATAATTGACAGTTATATTTAGAGTCAGACAACTTTTGTTCATTAGATCTGCATTAAATGTGTCTTTGCAACAGCAATAATGCAACTCAAAATGAATAGAAGTCCATCAACATTACAACACTGCATGATACACACAAGTATTTACACTTTTGAAATGATTAATAACTTGGGACAGACTTAACACATAAACGTTAGATGGCTGGTGCAACTCAACCCATGAAACCCTCCTCCTCTTGAGGGCAGAGTGGACTGGCACTGGGATCTACGCGCCGTGCAGTTGAATTAAATGTGAACAGTTGGAGTGGAAACTAGATATTTTGGCGCTCGATGTGTTTGAGTTGGAACGTTCAGTCTGGCACGGCGAGCAGCGACTGACTGACTATCTGTGTAAGAGTCCAGATGTTGCCCTTAGCCCTGAAAAAGACTAAACTTTTGTTGATTTTTCTCGAGGAGTCCGTATGAGGGAGAGGGTCGGGATGAGGGGAGCAGGTGAGAAACAGAGCAGCCCGAAAACCCCTTACAAACCCCCCAGACTCTACCAAACCCGCCTGCCAATCAGTAGACTGGAGCCTATCAGTAGATGATCTCTGAGCTTGTTGTGAATGGGGGGGGTTGCAAACTGGGATTAAATTGGTTGGTGGTGGTGATAATGGCTTGACCAATCAGGGGACGGGAGATTAGCGGTGAATGGTAGCATCCCTGAGTGTGTGCTGGTGTGGACCTGCATGTGTGTGTGCGGGGAAATCACATTTTAAAGGACCCACATGTGTGTTTGTGTGCGAGCAGATTTAAATTTCAGGTGTTAATCCATATTTCTAGAGATGATGCACGCACACAAACACACACAGGGGAACTCAAAGACATGTTGCTTTTGTTTTTATTTCCGCAACCTCATCATCTCCCTCTTCCTCTCAATCATTTCTCCCTCCTCCTCCTCCCCTCCTATTTTTGTCTCTACTTTTAAATATTTCTCTCGATTCTCACTTTTTTTTCTATTTGCTCCTTTCTTCTTGACCCTCCCTTCTCTTTGTCTTCCTTCTTCTCCTCTTGTCTTCCTCCACCTCTCTTCTTCTTCTTCTTCTTCTTCTTCTTCCTCTCTCCCACCCCTCACCCAGGTCTATGCTGAGCAGCACAGTGGACAAGTCGGAGAAGACGTCCGGCGGGGTCCTCTCCTCTTCCAACAACGATGAGAACAACTCCTCCCCAGGGTCTGGTAACACCGGTAGGTTTGCTTTAGGAACTCTGCTCTAATGATGGAAATATTAGAACCAACACAGTGGTATTCTGGTAGCATTCTTTCAATGATTATGTCCTAAAGTTTTCCAATTATAACACCTTAAAATGACCTTTTATCACATTGCTTAATTGGGCTGAATTAATGTGGTTTACGGGAGCATTTAAACCCAAGATAAACAGATTTTGCTGTAATTTAAAAGCAAAGTGTATAAATATTATGCCGAAGTAACTCCATTATAATGCAGATGTGTTGAAAGTCTACATTAATGCTTAGTCAGGTCAGTCCGCAAGAGAACAAGCATGACACTTTTAAAATGCTGGTTTTCTGAATGGAGTTTTCTGAATGGAGTTCTGTTCAGTCAGTGCTATGCTAACATTTTAGCATTGCACTTCCTCTTAGTTCTTTTTCCTCTCTTCACTTTGCCTCTTTTACCCATTATTTGTATCATCCCTTCTTACTTGTATTTATTATTATTTAATGAGAACAAGCAGGAAACACAAACAGAGACACAGCAACAAGAAGATGACATTCCCATTTCATAAAAAAGTTAAATACAATAATAAAATAATGTAATAACACTAATTTGAAAAGAACAAAACTGAAATAAAAAATCTGTAGTTTTTGCCTCTTGCCTGATTATTACTCTTACCTCATCTCCCCTCTCCTCCCCCCTCAGGTGGGACCGGCACCCCCCCGGCCATCGGCCTCCAGAAGGAGTCGGTGAAGCCTCGCTCGCTGCGCTTCACCTGGTCCATGAAGACCACGTCGTCCATGGAGCCGGCGGAGATGATGCGCGAGATCCGCAAGGTGCTGGACTCCAACAGCTGCGAGTACGAGCTGCGCGAGCGCTACATGCTGCTGTGCGTGTCGGGAAACCCCGCGCGAGACGACTTCGTCCAATGGGAGATGGAGGTGTGCAAGCTGCCGCGGCTCTCCCTCAACGGCGTGCGCTTCAAACGCATCTCCGGCACCTCCATCGCCTTCAAGAACATTGCCTCAAAGATTGCCAACGAGCTCAAACTGTGAGTGCGGAGGAGAGAGGTTCAGAGGTGGGAGGGTGAAGAGGGGAGGTAGGGAGGAGGATGCTGTAAGTGGAGGTCAGGAGGTAAGCTACAGGGTGGGATCACTTTAAAAAGAAAGCCGATTGTTATGTGGACAAAGGTCTGAAGTAGGGCTATCGGTTCCTCTGAGACTAGAAAAGCGTTGTTTTCTAGAAGTTCCTTAAGTACACGAGGCCATTAGAAACTCTGAGTCCGTGTCCTCTGAGTCGTGAAGTACTTATAGACCGAGGGTCTTCTCTCCCCGCTGGGCTTTTCTTTCGTCACGTTCTACTTAGACGTTCCACTCTTCTGCATGTCCGCTCTGCTCTCTGTTTATTTAGTCGTCTCACTTTGATCACTTTGACCACTCCTGTCACTTCTTCCTGCTATTTATTCAGTTTGTTCTGCACGGTTCTGCTGCCAGCTCTTTTTGTGTAGGAAAGACAACCGGGTAAAAATCGGAGGGGGGGGTTAAGATGGAGGACAAAGTGAGTGGAGAAATTGCTGATAATAAAAGAAAGCCAACGTTCTCTCTGAATCTCTAACAAGTGAGGATTGATGGAAAGTGTGGAGCCTTATTTTTGCTGGAATTCTCATGAAAGGAGTCTAGATTTGAATTTGTTCTGATTCTCCTCCGACTCTGAATGGACTCCAACTGAGCCGGGACTTTGGTTGCTGAAACCCCCCCCCTCTCACACACATGCACACACAGACACACACACACACGGACTTTGGATGGAAAGACTATGCTGTTGTTGGTTAAAGGACCCTCTTCACCCTCCTGTTTAAAAATGAACTTTAAAAATCCGCCTGATCCATCCTCCACACACACACACACACACACACACACACACACACACACACACACTCTTCAACCCTCTAATTTCAAACTCGGCACAAACACATCCATGTTTTCGCCTCTTCACTCCCTTTGTCTTCCTCACTCATTAATTTCTCTCATCGAGTCATGATGACATCATCGATAGTTCTTCAAGTCTTTCTTTTGTTTGTTTTGTTAATTTCTTCTTCTTTTATGGCTTTTAAAAAAGAGTTGTGCACTGGAAAAGAGGGGTGAACGAGGGAGGGACGGACAGTTTGTGGACGGGGTTGTTGATTTTACGTTGCCTTTCTTTGTAGAATTTAAATGTAAGGGTTTGTTCTTGTTGTCAGCACATACATGCTCAAATGATTTATTTGTATTTTTTTTTTTATTATTGTTGGTATCACTTCGGTTGGCATCGCGCCTTCATATCCAGAATGTCAACCCTGAACCGACGCATTTCTACCCCCCCACATCCGCTTTCTGCTACTCCCAAACACACACCTTTTGGAGTATGTAACAAACAGTGTGTGTGTATGTGTGTATGTGTGTGTGTGTGTGTGTGTGTGTGTGTGTGTGTGTGTATATTATAAAAGATCACTGGAAGACAAAAAAAAAGAATCGACAACGACGAATGGTGAATTATTTTCTTCTTCTTTTGATTTGATAATATATTTTTGTGTCGTTGGAAATTTCNGGGTCACGTCGGATCATATCATTGCTGCCTTTTTTTTTCTTCTGTGTAGTGCACCTTTAACACACAGCTCATAGTTTATCGGATTAAACACAACCCCCCTCAAGTGCAGATGGATGTATTTAAAGATGGCGGTGGTGACGACTACTGCTCGGCCTTTTTTTTTCTCAGTTCATCTGTTCATTTTTAAGGCCTTATGGAAGCAGAGAGACTTGTTCGCCAAACGTTCTCGTATCACAGCACACGTTCAAACCAGATGACGTCACTTCCTTTCTCCCAAGAAGAGGGGTTAGAGAAGGGGGGGCGGGGGGGACAATGCCTGGTCCCGTCTCCTGGTAACTTTATTTCTTTCTTTCTCACAATGACACACTGTCGTTTTATTATTTTAGATTTCAGTTTTTAATACGTCAGATTTTTTTTCTTTCAAAGTTGATCATTGTATTAAGGTGCTGGGTATTGGATTCTAATTATTATTCTGGCTGTTGCTGTTATATTATCTCTTTCAGGGTTGATTTTATTTTACATTTTCGTTTTACATTGCTGTAATTGACATTGATTTTAAATGTGTTTTGAGCAAACTGTAACTGTAGTGGTGGGTTTGGGGTTGGGAGGGGTGATCAACTCCTGAAAAATGTATTATTTGTTTTTTTTTGTTGTGCAAAGACAAAATGATGAAAAATTACAATGATAGTAATAAAAACAATGATATAATGATAGTCTGCCTCTGGAATCCATTATGCCGAAAGCAAGACACATTTGTTTCAGACAAAGAAACCTCTTCTTTCAGTCATGTCAGATTATGTTTAACTACATAATGATTGGTAACATTTTAATTGTTCTGAGCACATGACTAAAGGTGTCCTAAAGTTTCCCCATTTGAGCAAAAGAGTCCGAACAAATCAAGGTTTTTTCACAGGCTCATTATATGAATATATGTTCTGTTTGGTTTCAAATGTAAACCCCCTTTTTGAGGTAATTCAGCTCTAATCCCAGACAAAACCATTATGAAAAACCTGGAATTGCTGCTTAAAAGAATACTTCACTAAAACTCTTGAGTCATGCAACAAAACAAACTGGTCAGTCATTCATGTAAAAAGGGCCATTTTGGGGATGAAATATTCCATTAGTCTGAAAAACGTGAATTGCTGCTTATTTGTTACTATTTGGTGGGTAGCATTTAAGACAGTATTTGGTACCAGGAGCCCATTGAATAAATGAATTTGGTTTAAGTTTCATCTTGATAAACAAGATGAATATGTTCTGCTAGTTTAGATCCTGTTTATCTGTTAGACGCTGTGATGTTCCACATCAGCAGGAGGGGGCGTCAACCGACTGTTTCCTGTGCAGGTGTGTGGGGGAACTGGGTCACTTTAAGCTGTGCAGGAAGTGTTCCTCAGCTTCAGAGAAACATTGCACCAGTTATATTTATACCCGTAAGTATATATTATTTTGTCAAGACTTTTGATGTTACGTTACAGTCAGCAGTTCCTGTGTGAAATTACATAACAGTTACATGATCAATACATCTTTATTTTTTGTTGTATTTAACTAGATAAGGTGTGAGGAATTAAACATACAGCCTACTGTTGCTGGGTGAAATGAAACTAAGTACATTTAAGTATAATTAAAGTTTATGCCCCCTTCCACCTGTTTTCCTCACTGCACCACATTAATATAATGACTTATATGGATACTTTACAGATGATTATTTAAAACCCTGAGTATGCTATCACAGTAAATGATACCACCCAACAGTATATCAAATGAAATTAGATCTATTGAGACCTGATGCTATATTAAATAGGCATCCTCAAAGGCGGCGCGTGAGGCTCAGGTTTGGGAAGGCTAAATAACTTGTTTTACCTGGCTTATCAACTCGATTACGAGTTGATAACCAGCGTCGTAGGACAGCTTAGCGAGCGCGTTTTTAGGGTTAGTTAATAACTCAAACGTATCCAGGGTCTGTTGAACTGGCTTCGTAGTAGGCCTACACGGCACAGATGGCTGCATAGCAGCGTTAATTTCAAAGACACACACATTATATTTTTCTTTTATCAAGATGCAGTGACACAAATATTTGGGAAGGCTTAGCCTTCCCTAGCCTACAGTACCCGCCGCCCCTGGGCATCCTGCATGGAGTATCAATATTGAAGGCTGCTCCTTTTAGTCCACTAATTGATATTGTAGGCAATTTTTTATGATGAATCCTTTTTTTTTTTTAAACAAAGATTTAAAGTGGTGCTTATGAATTATTCCTTGTTAAGAAAATTAGTTTTACAGATCTGTTGATTAATTTACTCGTAATAAGACATTCAGATCGTCCACCAAGAATATGTGAGCTCTGCCTTCATGTTAGTTTACATCATGTCTTTCTACACCTTCATCACTAACATTTGATTTGTGAATTAGACGAAGTTCCTAAATGATGGGTCATGGTAACCTTTGACCGCCAAATTGTAAACAGTTCATCGTTGAGACCAAGTGGTCATTTGTGCCACATTTAAAGGAATGAGCTCCAGGCAGGGGCGGATCTAGACAAATATTCATGGGGTGGCAAGAGGATTTCAGGGGTGGCATCCCCTGGCAGAAGTATATGCTGATTTAATTGCAGTCATATCAATCAATGTTAACTTGGAAAGCCACAATATTGATATTTTAATTCAATAACATTAGGTGACATTATTGTGGCACATCAGTAAAGCCTTAAATATAAATATATAAGGTGGCAGACATCATTTAATGAATTTTAACTNGGAGGTGAAGGAGGTGGAGGAGGTGGAGGAGGTGAAGGAGGTGAAGGAGGTGGAGGAGGTGAAGGAGGTGGANACATCATTTAATGAATTTTAACTTAATGAGTTGGTTTCACTCTGAGACCAGTAGGGGTACCAAATCTATGCAGACTGCTGCAATAAGTACATTAATTAACTGTCTCATCGATGTTTGTCTGAATGAATATGATAATATTGTCAATCACTGTTATGATTCACATATTCAGTGTTCTTATTAAATAAACTTTTTTTTTTGGAGGACTTAATGATGAATGTTCCTCAAGATGCTTGCTCACCCTCCTTCAAATTTGAAAGATAAGTAATTACTATCATAAATCAAAATAGTTCAGCGCCCCACAACTTCATTGCAAACAGTTACAACCTTGACTTTACATCAGAAAGAACAAACATCACTGTAGCCGAGGTCGAATATCTTCAAACTATTGTATGTCCAGAAGCCATGTAGTCAGTTATCTGCCTTCAGACCGGCCCCACAGAGCTCGCCCTGCTCAGGAATGTGAAGCCGCTGCAGGTGGCCCAACCTGTTGGGGCCACAGAGGTTTGACAACAGCTGATGAGAAGACCAGGCTCTGACAGTTTCATTCAATACGCTCGTTTTCTTAAGAGATGACATTAAGCTTTAGTATTTGGTCATTTCTTTATTCTAAAAAAAGAAATTTCTCAAACACAAACAATTTCCACAATGTAAACAACTTCTCACATACAGTTCATACACGAGCAGTTTTTCGAGGAAGGGACGATTAAGAAAGTCAAAAGGCGAGCCACTTTAAAGCCGACCGACGTGATGGTCGCTGTGATCCTGCTCAGTGCCGCGAGGAAACTAAACGCTGAGTGGAGAAGCACTGAACGCAGTTTAAACCCATACTCCACTGAGCCCAGATCTGTGTGGAGAGCTGCATGAACAGGCATACGTAAAAAAACAAACAAAGATTTGTTTGTTTTGCATTTTGAGAATCAAACTTTCAGTATCATTGCCAGCAAAAAAAAGCGAATGCTTGTTTCCCAAAATTCGCGATGAACTCATTACCATCTTTCGTTTCACTCCTTTACCGCGTCGAACATGCAGGAAGCAATGAGCTTTTAAAGCATTAGCAGACTTTGGCAGAACATTTCATATTTCAGGGTTTGATTATCTGTCAGAGGTCAGGAGAGGTCAGGCGTCCCCTTGACATTTGTAAACCTGCTTTAAACACCTGTCCTCTGCACATATTTACCTCAGAGGCTAATGTTTCTCTGCAGTGACAAGTTAGCGGTTAACCACTGGAACAATTCCAGACAGAAAGCAGCGTGGCTTTAACACCGAGCATCCAATCACACGTGTTCAACTGTTTCTCTTTAGTGCTCAGTCAATAATCATCATAATCTAGACTACTTACAATAACTAACTGCCTACCTAGAGCTCACTTTAAAAGTATAGTCATAAAACATCACTCCAGTTAATACTAGTAAGAGAGAGAGAGGAGGGAGATCTGCTGCTCCTTGAAATCCGTGACGGTAAAGTCACAGCCTCGAGTACAAAGCCGTTTCTTTGCAAAGTACCTTTTCCTCTCCTCTGAGGGTCCCGAGTTTTAAAGCGCAGGTCGTTAGGGAAAGGCGTGTTTCTTCACATCCTCTCAATCACTTTCTTACCCAACATTTATTCGTTATTTAAATTTCCTGAAGGTTGTTCTCGGAGGATCTAAAACCTGCCTAGTGGAACCAACAGTATAGATAGATATACATTACATATGTATGTGTGTGTTTGTATTCAACCACACTCGTCCAGATGTTCAGCTGTTGCCATGGAAACGAGCCGGTGGGTTTCCTTCAGAAGCTCGATGATCCAGTGTCTCTTTTTTTTTTTGTTTAGTGAGGTGTGTGTGCAGGTAGGTTTCAGTTCCTAGCTTGTTTGTAGTGTGTGTGTGTGTGTGTGTGTGTGTGTGTATGCACTCGTGAGCGATGATCTGGAGGTAGGTGTTTGTTGGTACAGTAAAGGGGCTGGGGGGGGCACACACTCTTCCTGCTTTTTAAGAGCTGTGATGTCGCCCGAGTGTGTTTGATGGATCCTGTGGCCATGTGATTGAGTTAAAGGGTGGCGGAAGTGTGTGTGTGTGTGTGTCAGTGCGTGTGTGTCAGTGCGTGTGTGTGTGTCAGTGCGAGTTGGGCTGCTCCACTTTGAGCCCGACGAGTGACGGGGGCATCTGGCCTGCAGCGGAGGACGAGGAGGAGCTGGGGGGTGAGGCCCTGAGGCTGGAGCTCCCGGTGGGGGGGGTGGAGGAGGAGGTCACCGCGGNCCGTATCTCGCGTTACCTAATGCAACTCCACACTACGGTGCTGTGTACCGGAGGAGAGACGCGAGATACGGCTGATACTTGACGATCTGGCGGAGAAAGGTTGTGGAGCCTCCGTTGATATGCCGTTGTAAATGGCTTGATGGAAAGCAGGTGTGTAGTCGGGGAGGGTGCACAGCTGATTGCAGCAGGTGAGTGGAGGTTGAGCCGGGAGCCAGGAGTGACAGTCACCACGCAAACAACACAGACAGGGGGAAACAAACAAACACAAAGGAGACGGCTGGAGCAGTACAGCCAACACAGAACTCCACACTACGTCTTACAGTGCCGTGTACCGGAGGGGAGAAAGAGAGAGCAGCGAAGGGGGGGAGAGAGAAGTAATACGGTTTCCTGATAAAGCTGTGGAGAGTATGTGCTGCAGGGAGGTGGATGCACAACGCACCCAGGAACGAACGCTAGCTCCGGTCCTTTTTACTGTGGACTCGATGTCCTGACAGGCTGGTATTTGTGCAACCTGCACAAACACAATACTGCACCATGATTACAAATGGTGAAATACAATGTAAAACTACCGAAAAATACCAGCTCCTTAAAACACAACCGCTCAACTCAACGCAACTACTAACTATACCCGCGGTCAGAGAGCGGAGATGTTTCCCCTTTGTTATGTAATGTGACGCGTTTGACGTATGACCTTAAAAAAAGCCGTTTTTAAGAGCAGAGCTCAAAATTGCTCCTTTCCCTCTGAATTCCTACCCTTATGTCTCGTAAAACATATCAAATCCTACATTCACTTTTTTAATTGTAATTTTCAAGCAAGTTTAAGCATAAATGTAGAAAAAATAAAAACCTGCAAGATGCTCTTTAATGTCCAAGGCTTTCAGAACGTTTTAGAGAAGGCTTTGTCCTCCTTCTGAACAGAAATGTTGACCGTGTTGCAAACGGCCGTAAAGAAGTTATAATATTCCAAATGTCCAACAAAAGCTCTTAAAACTGGAATAATAACCACATATCCCACATCTTATCATACAAATGCTACATCTGGATTATCCCAACAGAAATAGGTTTTTAACTTGACCCACATTGGAATGTGAGAGTGCATGTAAACGAGTCTCTTCTTCTGTTTGCTCTGCACAGCTGCAGTTTAACGCTTTGCTCAAAGGCACTCTGGCTGACTGCAGCTGCTCAGCTAGTAATCCGTTTTTCTGACTAAATGCATCTCATTCAATCATTCAGAACTTTCCCCACGATTGATGCAGACGGACGCCCAGGCGTGCACAGCTATGTGTCCGAGACAAACAACAATAAATGCCTCTGCTAATGAATGAGCCACTTCTAAGGCTCCTCTATGAGACAACTGTGTCTTTAATTGACTAAAAGCAATGAACACTGATTTGGAACAGTAGCTGCTTTACTTCTCCTTTAATTCACTTAAAGTACAGCTGGAATCTGAATCTCAGTATGGGGGGGTGCTGCAGCCTCTACTCACCCTGCACAGCCAGGAGCTGCTCCTCTGTGGTCCAACGGGAGTTCATCTTTGGGGCAGTCTGAGGGCGAGAGGAGAAGGGGGAGAGATTAGAGAGTGAGGGAGGGAGGTGGTAAAACAAGAGAGGAGTGAAAGTGACATCATGAGAGGAGAGGGCAGATTAGACTAATCTCAGTCCCACCAGGGGGGAAATCATATCTGGAGGGAGTCGAGGAAGGGCAGAGTGAAGACATGAGAGAGAAGGAAGAGGCGATGGATGGATGTAAAGGAGAAAGAAAACTGTACAAAAAGAAACTTACCTCGGACGGTTTTAAATTTGCCACACCCTCATTTAAACCCTGTTTCAAACAACTGTTGTTCTGTTTGATGGACTGGACCTATGGAGGAAAGAGAAGGGGCGGGGTTTATTCCTAAACGCTAAAAGGCTTCTGTCACTTTAAAACATGCAGTTACACTTTAGGAATAGTCTACTGTCACGAGCAATTCATTTTCTAATGTTTGGAGCTGCTTGTCAAATGCAAGACTAACAGTACAAATCAAAGTGACCCCTCACTGAGACTGAATTCATTATCATTTGACACAGAAAAAATAATTTAATATACTGTCTGTTGCACCATAAAGCCTTGGAGGAGGGGTTACATTTTCCTCTTTTCATGCAGGTTTGAGTTCCCTAAAACTTCCTCTACATGGACACAAATCTATTTGAGGTTTGAAAACAAAACACAAATACATGAAGCTCAGTGGCTGCACCACACCAAGTGTTTGTTTTCACACATTTATTTAGAGGCTTTCAAATGAAGCTTTGAAGTTGTGTCCTCACGCTTTAGGATGTCATCAATCTAATTGGGACATGTTTGATTTTGCTGGTATTTCGGTATTATCATTTCATTTATGGTGCAGTTACATTTCTGCTAGACCGCCGTGTCATTACAGATACGTGCTCTGTACGCAAACTCATTTTGCGAACAAACTCCACAATTAGTATAAAACGTATAACATTTGCATGTCATAATCTTTATCTGCAACTGTACAGAAATACAGGGAAATGCAATGAAGATTCACTTGCTGTGCGACTATTTGAATGTTGCTTTAAAACATTCATACACACTGATGACATTAGATGCAACAGAAGGCAGGTTACTCAGACTCGGTGTATACCTGTCTCTTGAGTGACACCAGCTGTGTGTCCAGCTGCCGTATGGTCAGCACCCCGGCGTTGTGTGAGGCGGACACCGACATGATGTCCTCCTGCTCCAGGTACATGCCTTTGGGGGGCCGGCGGCGGGCTCTGAGCGGGTGGTAGCGGTACTGAGCCCCCAGGTTCTCCTTCTTCAGCGGCCCCGAGCGGCTGGCGGCCGCCTTGTCTGCGTGGCTGTTGTTGGGGTTTGGTTTCACCGCCTGTGGAATCACAAATGTTAATCAGGCAATGCAGGAAGGCTGCTTTAGATTTATGTTTAATAAATGAAGTTGAAATTGCTGACAGAAGGCATTGATTTGCCTCAGGCAAGTCATGACTAATAAAAACAGAGAGATTGTTGACATAAGCATGCCACACACAGCCAATAACCTCTGTTAAGTTTTATATTGCCCACCTCTTTCTTGGTGTCAATCTCAAAGTCACTGTCACTGCCGGGCTCTGCCTCCTCAACCTCATCGTTACTGCAAGAAGAAAGACATTCAAGTCAAACAACCAGCGATTAAACTACTTCTTGACATTTTAACTATGTCTGGTTTCATCACAAGTATTTCTAAAATGCTTGAGAATGTCGACTGAAAATGACAAGAAATAATATCAAAGCATGTGATTAATATTCATGACTCTTGTTTTTCAGGATGCTCATTGTGTGTCTTTGTAAATGTCACTCCTCAGAGGACTGTCTGAACTTGTGCATGGTGTGTCCCACCTGTCTTCTTTCTCTCTCTTGGTGACCAGCCTCCTGGCCGCTCGGTCCATGACGGAGGTCCTGGTCCTGGTCTTCTTCCAGCTGTAGTAGTATTTCACCAGGCTGGAGATCAGCTTGTCTGGAAGCTGCACACAAACACAGTAATAAGATAATAAATAGAGAGCACAGTCTGTTTATTTTTTACATTCATTGAAAATAAAAAAAGACCTCTGAATAAAGTGTGTCTCTCACCATCTGCTGGATGCGGTGGAAGCTCTTGCCGTGGAAGCTGAAGGCCTGCTCAAACAGAACTTTGTCCTCCACTGTCCACTCATCGGGGAACGGGGTGAAGTTGGCCAGGTCCGCAAGCGAGCGCTCCACATCGTGTTTGTGCCATAGCAACATGCCTAGAGCCTGAGGGGAGAGACAAGACCGAGACAGGGTGAGGCAAGCAGGGACAGGAACAACAAGAGAGACACAAGCAGTGAGAGCAGAAAGAGACTTTCAGATGTTCCTCTGCCGTACGTACCTGCTCCATGTTGTATCCATGTTTCTCTTTAGCCATTAGGATGTACTCGTCCACTGGATTAAGATGAGAAAGAAACATAGGTTTAATAGAGGAAAAGCATCATGAAAAGAAGGACATATACAGTGATAGATGGGGTAGAATGAAAATAGATACAAATATTAAATTAATGAAAGAGAGAAAGAAAGGGGAAGACAAAGAATTTGAAAGAAAAGAGTGCGAGAGACAGAGAAAACACAGAATGAGATTTGTAATTGCTATTCTTTGGTGAGCGAATAGCCATTAAAGTGAAGGTCACAGGCTTGCACTAGAGAAGGAGGTAAGGTGTGTGTGCGTGTGTGTGTGTGTGTCTTACACATTGCATCAGACAGCATGACACTGGGACACCAGACCAACATGCTCCTATGGTCCTTCTCATTGAAGCGGTTTGGACTGTCTGTTAGAGAAACAACAAACAAGGACATTTTGTGTTTTTACAAAAAGTAGATCACATTTGACATTTAAAGACGTGTATCTCTTTCCCTCCCTTCTCCATGCTTAAACGAGAGGTTTGTTTTTTTAAGCTGACACCAAGAGCGGTTTGAAGAAACTGCCATTTTAGAATGGTTTTACCAATCTACCGGCCTATAAACAGGCCTTTACCAACCTGGAATGACTTTGGTTCATTTGGGTTTTAAAATATACACTGATAGTAGACCAACAACCAGAAAGATCATTTGTTACATGACTAAGACAAGTCTCTATCTCTTGTCTGCTTGTGTCAGTCCTAACCTTGTGGTTTGGGTCGGGTTCTGGTGGCTGATTATTTTTTCATGGTGGTTGGTGAGGATTGGCTCTTATAACAGGTGAGTACGGTGCACATCACTAATGAGCACAGTCCACTCGACTCAAGAGTTGCAAAGACACGATGCACATTACTGATTGTCTACTTATCAACCCTTATATTAACTTTCTTTCTCCCTCTGCTTTGCATGATTTCTCCTGTTTAGGCTCCATCTTCGTCAGGAAGAAAGAAGAGCACAAGCGGGTGGCATGTCAGCCGCTTTGGGAATTCAACACCTGTGTTTTCCAAAAAGACATTAAACTGGAGGATGGTTTGCTGCTTCTCCCTCGTCTGCTCTACTGATCATACAATGAATCAGGATGTGATAATAAGCCACATTTCCCTAGAGTTAATATCACTACAATGTTCTATAAGTAAATCAAATAAAGGGTTTGAACACTGCAAAGCAAACCCCTTCAAAGACGTTTGCATTATTGGGTTCAACCCTTCCTTACCCACCTTCTATGTTAACCTGTCAATCCACATTGAATTTCCATTACTGAGCAAGGGCAAACACATGCAAAAGGACGGACACTAACTGGTCATCTGACCTTCATTTCGCTCCTCATCAGCATTCCCTTCATTCCTCACCTCTATTTCTCCTACTACTCAGCCCTGATTTCCTCCCTCCCTCTCTCTCGTGCTTCCCTCTTTCAGCTTACCTGGTTTGAACTCTGGTATCTGAGCCTGGTAGTCTCCTCCCACTCGGATCATACTGTCTGCAGAGAGAGACACAAGAAGAATATCAGTTTCTTTTTGCCCAGAAGGAAGTAGAGATAGTAGCGGATGGGGACAATTATTCCTGTAGATGTTTTAAGAAGTTGCAGAGCTAGATATACTCTATCATTAGAAAAACATTAACATTATTAGTAAATTAGGAATGTCCTAACCATAGTTGTTGGTCAGTCTGATGCCATTAACAATATGTACTCTAAACATTTGTGTTTCGATCAGTTTGGTTCAACCAGGATAGCAGAAACATTTGAATGAGATCATATAATCTGTCTCTTTGAACAAGAAGTTCATATGGAAATAGTGCTAGCATATGTCTTGATAAATAGTTTAATGCATGATAATGCTCAATTTAAAGCAGGGGTATTCAACTAAAATTCAACGAGGTCCAGTTAGAGAAAATCTCCCCATGCAAAGGTCCGGAACATCAAAATGTCTAACTTGCTTCCTGAATTAGTGTGATATATATTGAAGTGACTTGTAGCTTTATCAGCATATGCATGTTATCAACAACTGACTGCCAATCAAATAGAGAAAGTACAATTCAAAAACAACAATATTTATTGTCAATTAACATTGAACTCTACAGATATACAGTAAATACTGTGGATATGTGTAATGTTCCTCTCGGGCTGCATTTAAAAATAAAAGAGAAAATAAATAAAATAGCTTTTGAAAACATGTGCATCTTAAAGTGCTTCATTTTAGATAAATAAAATAAAGTGTAGCAGCAGCTTGAGTTTCCCTTTTTCTTTGTTAACCGTTTCACATCATGACTTAACAGTTTCAGACGATTGTAGAACAATATCAATCTTTACACATCATAACAATTGAACAGTTTTAAAGTTTCTCTTTCTTTCCCTCTTATATTGCAGTCGCTCACTCACTTTTTTTAAATTCAGTGCGAGAATTGAGTTCAAGCTTGCCCTGCCAGGAGTTTAAATCTGGGCTGAAATGGTGTCAGGGCCATTCTCATACACATGCAGGTGCTCATTGGTTAGCCTCGCATAGCCTGCCTGGAACGATATTTAGTTTTAATTTTGATAATGGTGGACTGATCATATCGGGCTCTGAGACTGCTTATTTTTTGGGACCTCAGTTCTAACTTGAGGGAATGTTTGGTCAAACACTTTCTGTTTTGTCTCATTGTGGCGTTTTGGCACTTTTAATGAGCGCCACGATCTCTGAACAAATGAGACACACTGGTTCTGTGCTCCCAGTGGGCAGGATGAACATGAATGAGTCCACTCAGGGTTAAAATCTCTGTTCTCACTGTCCACTTTCCTCTTCTTGGAGAGCGCCATGTGTAATTATTTGTCTCTCCCTGTCTGCTGCTAACACGCCCGTTCACTCTCCTCTCCGCTCCCTGTATCGCTAATTATTCTGTTCACNATTTGTTTCTCCGAATCGAAGGGGGAAAATATAAAAACAATTGCACACAATTTAAACCAATCAATGTTGTGTAATTAACAAGGATAATCTGGTGTTTTTTAGTCGATGAGTAGTGCAGATATCACTGTAAAATCAATCGACAGTAAGGGGAATACTTACTTCCGGGTGTACAATTCTCCGTTATCCAATGGGAATGGACGCTCACATTGCCTTTAAGGGCAGCCGACACAAACGAATGCCGTGCTTCCATGAGCGTCAAATCCCGCAGTAGATGGGAATACATTGCAATCAGTTGAAAGCTATTTGCGTCCCTTTATGAAGCTGAAGGAGCCTAGGAGCGTCACAACTGCACGCCACGGGACCCTGACCAAACGTCGCTCCTGGACGATTATGGAGTGAGAGTGTGTTGGCTATCGAGTGTGTCATTGAAAGCATGGAGATGAATAAATGTGTGTTTCGATTTCAGAAGCTACAGATGTGGCTTTTATAAAACAGCTTCCTGGTACCATTATGTCTGTTTATTTCTGACAAGGCATACAGTATGTAACGCAGTAAATGTTCCTTTATGGAAACAACCTGTGCTTCAGTGGACTCTCATAAAGCCATTTGCAGTTTGACATTTGACTGCATAAACTGACAAACACATTAAAACAGCAGTACTGCAATAACAGACAGACTGCAGGATTCTGAAGGTATGGAACATTTATATTTCATTCTTTAATACCAGGCGCCAGGGGGTAGCTTGGAGTTGCTATAGCAACTCCAACAATTGGCCTAGCAACGGCTTAGCAACCCCATTGTTTTGTTATGAAAATGTATCAATATATTTTTATACACATTTTCGCAAGATCTATCTGGGGTCTTTGTAAGTTAAAGCGCAAACTGTTACTTGGCTAATGTTGTTATAATTCTCAGTATGTGAACACAGATCGAAAATGGAAAGATTTCTCACAAGTCAGCGTAAACGACCGCGATCTCCAGCCGGACAACCCTGCTATCTCTGTGTGTGTGTGTGTGTGTGTGTGTGTGTGTGTGTGTGTGTGTGTGTGTGCGTGTGGTCTGTTTGCGGTGTGGTGATGAGGTTAAATGCCACAGCATGCCAGTTGAAACAGTGAACGATCGCTATTGTGTACTTGTACGCTTAGGGTGTAATGGTATTATACAAAAATATTTTCCGGAAACAGTGTTCAAATTCTGCTTTTACAAACTAATTTTGGTTGTGCTTACCTTGCAAAGTAATGTTATAAATGTTTTAATGTAAATATTAATAATAATATTCTAGCGTGTCCAAGTTAATAGTTATTTCAGTTATCAGATGTGCACAGTTTAGTACATTTGTAAAGTTATTTAGGCAATGTTGTTGGTGGGAGTTAGGGAGAGACCGCCCCTTCCAGGTGTGTGTGCGTTTTCGGTGTGTGTGTGGAGGGAGTACGAGACGGTAGGAGTTGTGTTGTGGGAAAAGTCATAATGAGTGTTATACTATTGATTGGCTCTGTAAGGCGTGGCTGTGGCCGTCAATACCAGAAAAATAAAGAGAACGTTTTCGACATTGAAGGCTCAAGTGATCTGTGATTTTGAATAGCGGTGAACGCTACAATATGAACAGTCTCGTGCTTGGCCCACTGGTATTTTTTGTTTATTTATTTTTGAATTAACTAGCAACGCCGTGCTGTCATATAGCAACTGCTGAGCTACTGCAGCAAAAACATCCTGGCGCCGCCCATGCGCCTGTTCACTCTCCTCTCCCTGTATCGCTAATTATTCTCTTCACTTACTTTCCTCTCCGCTTCTCTCTGCCGCTCTGTCGTCTCTTCTTGTGTTTCTCTCCCTGTATCGCTCACTCGTCTCTTTCGCCCCCTGTTGGCAGCGGTTAAAATAGAATCGCCCCGTCAAAATTGAAATCCCCTATTAATGTATTGATTATAGGTCCGGGTCCGTATAGGTCAGTGTCTGGGTCCGGATCGAGGTCCGCCTGTTGCCGACCCCTGATTAAAACATATTTACCACTAAGTGACAGATAGGGGGGAAGAGAGAGGGATGAACGACAGCGGATGGCAGATATTAATTCATTAGTGCTGTGGTAAAGAGGGTAAAGGCAAGGAGTGAAGAGAGACTATGAGAGAGGCAGGCCAGCAGCTGAGGAGGAGGACAGATTACCGTTTCCTCAGGAGAGAGGACAGGAAGGGTGGAGTGAGGGAAGATAGAAACTGGAGTACATGGTAAGGAATGGGAGGAGACAGGAAGGGCAAGAGTAAAGCAGATTGGATTGAAGGAAAGGAAGAAGGGGCATAAAAGGAGGCAAGAAATTAGGAAACATTTTATTAGGGATGGTGGCTTTTGATGCAAAGTCTCAGACCTACATCAACAGCAGAAAACTGGGAGCCTTTTAAATCGCTCCCCAACTACTCCAGTTTAACGGTTTGATCTATAAAGATATCTCGAGTACATGTCTCTAGTGAGATAACTGAACATGCAAAGATCATGAGCAGCCATTGTGTGAAGGAGGAATGAAGGAATGAAAGATGGATGTGGGCAGATGATGGAAGAGTGTGGGAAGGGGTGGAGGAGAGGAGGAGAGGAGGACAGAGGAAAGCAGTGTGCAGGCACTGAAGAAGCTCTGCAGCAGTGCAACCCAACAGCTGACTTTATGTATCTGCACAATGGAAATGTCAACTGTTATACATATTACACAATAAACTTAATCGCAGTAATGGAAGGGATAGCTCGGATGTCTGTTGGGTTGTATTCAGTACTTATCAGCCATCAGTGTTTTAATTAAAGGAGATGGTGGTCGGCATGCACCCAGTTTGGAAAGACACACAGGACTACCAGCACAAAAGCTAAGCAATGTACTTCTATGGAATCTGGCAGCACCCAAATGTAAATTTAAATCATTGTATGCTTTATTTAAAATATGTTCTCCACTTGCCTTTAAACTGCCTCTTCAGGTCTTGTCTGAAAGGGCTGTCTGACGGTAAATTAAAGTTTGGCTGCAGCCCTTATCCACTACAGTTCATTGCTTCATATCTGCTCTAGCATTCCCGTCTGCTCTCTGAAAGAGGGGTGTCATCCACTAGGTAATACACTCACTATGGATACCTAATACAACAACATTTCAAACAATATGAAGTAAACCCCCCCCCCCCCATTAAATTCAGGTTAAAACAGTAGATTATAATAATTTTTAGTGTTTCTGTGTGTTGTACCATGAGCATGCTCTTCGTCACTGCTCTCCTCTTCAGAGTGTGGTAGGCTGTTGCCATTGGTGACGGTCTTGGCTCTGCTCCTGGACAGGACCCCGGACCCCGAGCGCTCCATCACTGAGGGCATGGCTGCAACAACACACACACACACACACACACACACCCTGAATATGGAATGATGGCACGTACAGAACACCGTTCATCAACCAAAACCCATTTCTGTCTTACATGTGATGCAATCTCCCATAAAAATATCACTTGCATCACTTGGCAGATATTTGGCTGCGATAGGATTTCACTTGAAACCCTATAAAGCCTTAATCACTCTTGTAACGTAGAACAGCACCTTATGTTGCTACATTGGAAGCAATCCCATAATTTTCCCTTCAGCAGAGTTTATTTCCCAACATAACTTTACTGTATGAGAACATGTTCACACTCAACAACTCTCCCAGAAACCCTCATTTTCATCAGTCGATAGAACTTGGTTGCCTGAAAACTAGGGCTGAACATTTCAAGTAATGCTCATTGGAAATAAAAAAATTAAGACTAATTTTCAGACTAATTTACATTTGTGGTTTGATCAGGCTCTTATCTTGGTGTCTCACTAATCAAAAATGTGCTTCCAGTGTGATTAGTTATATGGGACGTAAGGTGATGAATGGGCCATTGGTTTGTTGGCTACATTTCTGCTCTCGTTCTGATCTTCTCTCACAATATTGACCTTCAAGGAACCTCAACACACAATCCAGAGGCCCTTGTTGTTGTTCAACACAGGACTCAAACTGATGAACTCACGTCCTCCTTCATTACTCCAGTTAATTAAGAAGATGCTGCTGCACCACCCACAAACAGAACACAGGGCTATTTAGTGCCCCAGACCATTAAGAAACACTTGAGCTCACATTCCAGTGCTCTCTTTTACCAATGTAATGTCTGTATACCTGACCATGTGGGATCATTTTTATATAAGGTAACAGGATGTTAGGGTTTAGTGTGGCAATCAAATATGAGCAGGCAGACCACCATAACCAAGTAAATAAAAACAGACTTGCAGAGAAGCTTTATTTAATGAGAATCAGTCCAGTATGGCCATTATCCAATCAACCTAAGGTCTCCGAGTAAGTACCAGTGATATTGATTTGGCAGATCTGTAGGGTGCATTACTGTAACCATCTGACGAACCGAATGATTAATTGAGAAAATAGTTAGTTGCAAATATTATTAGTTTCAGCACTAAACACTGTTTTGACACATCACAAACCATGGTGATGCTCATATGTAGAGTTGCATCCAACAGTTATATTCTTATAGATAAAACTGCAGAAATACAGTGGGAAATGTCCATCTCATGTCCCAGCTTCTCATAGTCGAGGGGAATTCATTTACATTTGTTGTTTTTTTAAAATCCTATAAAGCTATATATAAGCAGAGAACATAAGAAAATGTATATACAAGAGGTTTATTATAACAGAATGTTCAGATTATGTCTTGTATTAAGAATTAGTTGAACAATAAGTCCATTAACAAAATAGTTACATACTTTTTGCTGTTTATTTATCAACTACTTGATGGAGCTCCTCCTCATACATGCTGAGCAAACAGCCCAACAGACAAGTAGAAGCATCTGCAAAACAAAGTGAAAGAAAAAACGAGCCATAAATAACATGAGCCCTCCAGTGTGGAGAGGACTCTTATTTTGAGTGTCACCCACAGTCAGTGCTATATTATTACGTGGCCAAGCCTCGTTTTTCTATGTATCTCCGGGCAGTGAGACTCACAGCAGCACAAAGACTAGACGGTCAACTCGGGACACAGAAAGTAACCCAACTAAACTCCCTCCCTCCTGGTACACAACACAGTGCGGTTACAAAACAATGAGCGATATCACTCACAGATCGCAGCATAACGAGTCTTATACTTGCTGTCCTCTATCCCATCATCAACTCCTGTTTACCTAACTTCAACTAGAACAAAGCACGGGCATGCCATATGGGCGATATCATGAACTTATTCCCCCATTCTCCAGATAAAACATGAGTAGTTATGGCTCCTCTGCAGAGGGTGAGGGGCAGATTCATTCACATCTAGCAAACTCCGCTAGACAATACAAGTGTCTGAGGCTCTCTGGGAGTCTTTGTCTGTCGCGGCTGCCGGTGGCCCCCCGACACTACAACAGCTGTCCCCTTAACTTCACTGCAAACTCAAGGCATCAAACATAAACATAGCCCTATTTATTTACATCTAACTCGATGGATTTAATTTTGACGCATCGATTAAACTAAAGCAACAGAGGATTCGAAGATGAAGCTATAATCCCGCCTCTGTTCACTTTCAAAGAGTTACTTTCGGGGGGGGGGTGGTAGCCTCAAACACTGCTACTATAGCCTCGACCTTTGACAACAGTTATATGATATAAATCTATAATACATAACAGCCAACCCCACCATACAGGGTGTAGTCAAGTATTGCTCAACCACCTGCTTATACTTAGTAAATCATTTTAACAAGTGTTTTTTTCTATACATCATAAATGTGTAAATGTTTACTATCTTATTGATGTATCATTTTGGACTCGTATTGACAATCTTGGCGCTTCTAACGTGACAATTAATATGCTCGTAGATATAATTAGTACGTTTTTCATCTAGTGTTGTTATTTGTTTTAAAGTAGGCAACACCAACATAATAGTATGGGGACTCCTTTATTAAGTATACATGTTGGTTAACTATAAATTAGTTAATGTGTTACTAAACCAAACATATGAGGTGGTGGGTTAGCACCTGGTGCTCTAATGGAGCCAGGTGTGCTAGCTGAAGACATTTCCCCATCTTAACGGAGCAGTCATGTGAAGTCCTTTTGTTTTCCGCACGCTTACGTTGCTGTTACTACTCCTGACGCTACTGTCTGCTGGAGTGAAAACTCGCTCTCCGTATTATTATAACTCGAGTTGTCGGTCTCTTTCGGGATGTTTAGTAGTTTGAACGGTCCCGAGTAATTTTTGGAGGTCAAACAATAAAAACCAGGCGATATTTGCCTCCCTCTCTCACTAAAGTGCAACCTGAAGTCTAGTTGGTCGTCGGGATGCTAACGTTAGCCAGTTAGCTTGCGGCTAGTACCCTCGCGTTACATTAGTAACGATAATAGTTGGAAGTCGAGATAGCAGTCGCTCTCCTACCTGTGTTTCGTTTCTCTCCGCTCTCCTCGTACTCAAAACTTATCTGCGCCTCTGTTCACAGTTTATATTCCTCTTCGAAGCGCTTAAATACAATTATCGCATCTAAAAAGGCTTAATTATCGCCTAATTGATGAGAGGAGCCAGTACAATGAAGTGAACTGCATGGATAGATGGAAGCAGCCGTGAGTGTGCGTCGGGGAGACGGACAACACCCGGGGAAAAGTAAGGTGGACATCCGCCTTGATGCGTTCGCCTCTCCCAACCACAACCAGCCGTTTGGATTGACAAAAAGTAGTCCTCCAAAACTATTAAATGAAGCCTATTCTCAATTTTAGATTGTGTTGCCATACATGTGTAAATTGACACGAAATATTAACCAACATATCGTGCTGATAACAAATATCCTTTAAAACGGCATACAGTCCAACCCGTTTATATGATAATGATGCACAGTTTTAATTATAGAACACAGTTTATAATGCGTTATAAATCATCAGAAGTAGTTTTTGAATGATTCTTAATCTGCAATCTTTCAAAATCCCATAAATTAAGGACTACTTGCCAGTGTGTCGGCGGAGGGATTCGTCAGCTGTGCATCCGTGTGCTGAGGCAGGCTGTCCAGACTTGTACTGATGTATGCATGGTGGAGAGAAAAGGGGCAGGAGACCGGGGTACGATTGAACCTTGTGTGTTTAAGTATGTGAGAGACAGAGTCCTGACTATTACTCAGATGAATACACCTTAATACACATTATTTATTTATATTTAAAATGTCGAACAATTCAAAAGAGTTCTTCCTAGTGTTTCCCGTACGTGTGTGTACGTGCACAGGTGGATGTGTGTGTGTGATTGTTTTACTGATATCTGTGCAGGATCTTTCACACCTGATGCTGCCAATCAATCAAACACACACACACACACACACACACACACACACACACACACACACACATCCTGCTGCTGACATGTAACAGCCTGTTACACACTCCTCCAGCTTTCTATCTACTCTCTCTTTGGCATCACTGCCTCCTCCTCCACATCTCCCTCTTCTCTTTGTTCCCCCCCTGTCCCTGCTCCTTTCTGCACCTCCTCTATCTGTCTTCTTCTTCTCCCTTTACTTACTTATTCATTTCCCTCTGTCATCTCCTTCTTCAATACTTTCTCTCCTCTTCCTCCCTGAATGTCTGCCCTAATTCTCCTCCTCCTCCTCCTCCTCCTCCTCCTCCTCCTCGTGTTTCCTCTCTCTCTCACCCCATGCCCCTCTTCCTCTTCCTCTCCCCTTGCCTCCCTGCTTTCTCCCCTTCCGTTTAACTCCTGTGCTTTCTTCCCCCTCCCTCGTCTGCTTCCCCTTATACTTTACTCTCCACATTGATGACTCCTCTCATTCCCTCCCTCCTCTTCCTCTCCTCCCTCACCCCCTCCTCCTCCTCTTCCTCCTTCCTGTCTCCCTCTCTTGGAGTCTTCCTCTCGTGTCGCTTTAGATTTCCTGTGTGTGTGTGTGTGTGTGTGTGTGTGTGTGTGTGTGTGTGTGTGTGTGTGTGTGTGTGTGTGTGTGTGTGTGTGTGTGTGTGTGTGTGTGTGTGTGTACGTGCAGATCCTTCCCCTCCCCCATCCTCACCCAACAGTGGTAAAGCAGTTTCCCTCCGCTCACCTCCAGGCCCCCCCTCTTCTCTCCTCTTACTCCCTCTTCCTCTTCAGTCTAATTTTCACCCCTGCCACCTCCTCCCCCCTCCCCTCCTCTCCTCTCCATTCCTCTCGCCTCCTTCCTTCCTTTCCTCTCATTAGTCAGTGTCCATGAAACTCACCCTTCCACAGTCTCTCCTCTCCCTCAGTCCTCCCGTCCCTAACACATCCTCTCTAATGAACAACTCCTCTCCCCCTCCCCCCTCCCTACCTCCCTCCCTCCGCCCCCTCCTCTCCTCCTCTCTGTCCTCCCCTCTCCGCCTCCTCTGTCTTCCTCCTCCATTCGTCACTATGTCCCTTTCCCTCCTCTCCTCGCTCGGTTTCTCTTCGATTGTCCCTCCCACTCTCCCTTAAGCTCACTCTTGTTTCCACTTCTTTCCTCCCCCCCTCCTCACCACCTCCCTCCTCTCTCCACCTGTCTCCTTCCTTCTTCTTGCCTGTCTATCCATCTACTTGCTCTTCTCACTTTTTTCTGTCTTCCCTATTTCTCTCCACATGTCCACACAGTTCTCTCCCTCCTTCCCTTACACCTCCCCCTGACTCCTATCCCCCCCCCCCCCTCTAATAATCCTCTGACTTTCTCTGTTATCTCAGGAGATGTAGAATCGGATGTGATAGAATCTTCCTGCTACCGTCTCACAGTAGGACCACCATGCATGTCTAAATGTTTAATACTCACCTGCACAGTGGATGATGCAGTATGTCATTGCAGACTCATTATTACATGATTTTCATGCACTGAATGCCAAATCACAGCCGCTGCTGCTGCACTATGACACACTCAATGACTCATTATAGTCTGACACAAGCATTTATGACATAACAGATCATATGTTGAGTCAAAATGAATTTATATAAGGATGTAAAAGATAGTGGAACAGATAGAAACTCCTCTTATCTCAAGGCCTACAGTATACAAATGATCTTTAATATACACTGAAAACATTTAAACGCCCACTTTGTATGTATTATGTCAACAGATTACAAGCTTAGTTGAAAGCAATAATATTGAATAAACATAAATAAATAGTAGTTTCAACTTCATATTAGTGCTTCCAACTAACCTAATATGATTATGTGTAATCTGTTGACATAATAGGCTAAATTTAATTAAAGTCAATGTTTCATTTCTTTTTCAGTGTTCTACTTTAATTATTCTCTACCTTTTCAGTATTATACCCTTTGGTTTGGAGAGATCTGATGCCAGTCTTGTCATCTTTATGTTTTCACACTAAGAGATTGCAGTATAAATATCATTATGCATTCTGCATGAATGTACTTAGCAAATTCCATGACAATCTGCCAGTTAGTGTGTGAGCTATCTTGTCTGCAAAGCTGACAGTGATGGTTAAAGGGACAGTCCTAAAATCATGAATACAATTGTTTCTATAACTTGTATTTCTGTTTGTCTACAGATTTGTTTTGTCCCTAAGAAGGATATGGGCCGTAATGACATTCTCGATTATCCAACATGTACTTTAAATTATAAAATTTGGCTAAAATGTTCAATCCAGAACAGCTGACTGTGGTTTTTAATTGGGTTGAAGCAGACTTGTCACTTGACTCATGTGCTGCTTCACCACAACCCCCCCCCCCCGCCATGAAACATACATCATGTGTAGAAAAGAGTGCACAACCCTTTCATCTCAGAAGAATAGCGTCCGCTTGTACAGTCTATGTGTTGTAATTCTGTGCTGCAGGGCTCGCTGCTTTGAGAGAGGCCTCCTCATCCTCATCATCCTCATTCTCCCTCCTATCCTTTCAAACTATCCATCTATCTATCCAATCCATCTATACATCTATCCATCCATCTATCCATCTATCTATGGTCTGCAATCCAACACACACTTTGCTGAGCTGAAGAGAGGGATCTATTTGTGTGTGTGTATGTGAGTGCATATGTGTGCCAGTATATATTTAGGTGGAGATGGGAGAGGGGCAGTTTGAATTTCATTATCCAGTCCTCCGTGCAAACACACACAGAGAATGTAGAAAGTATGAAATACTTATAGACTATAATCTAAACTGCAGGATGAGTTGGTGTGTTTGTGTGTCAGTGATTCACCTCTGTATGCAAACACGGAGTCCTACAATGAGCAGCAGTCCTCTATAGACTCTCAGAGCCTCATAGCGCCCACTACTGTCAGGAAGAAGACAGTTTGTTTGCCGACAGCAGAGAGACAGATTCCATGAAGACAAAAGACTGTAGGCGGGGCTTAGACACTGCCATCTGCGAGCTGTGTGTGTGTGTACCCCTTTATTTGCATTATGGAAAAAGTGGGTAGGCTTTTGAGGGTGGCCATCTCATATCCCACCACACCAAGAACACACAGTCATAATCTGAGCAATATTTAACCCTTTTTTGGGTTGTTTCACGAAAGAGGAATAACAACAACAACAACAACAACCAATTTCCCCTTTACTTCCTAAAATTCAAAGCAACTTTATTGAAGAGCTATTGTTAAGAAACCCATAATCGTACAAAGAGAAACACAGTATATACAAATACACTAAGGAGCTCCAATTTGAAATACATACGTACAAATGGAAACTAATGGACGAGTTAAAAGTTATTTAGTATTTTGTTTCCTAATAAAAACTAAGATAATTAATTTGATAGAATACATGCTGCTTGTTGGTTGCAGAAGTATACAAGTATCTTTGTTCCACTGATGATCTTTGAACCGATTGTAATCCTGCTCAGCCTTTTTGTTTTCATCTGACCTTATTACAGTAAACCCCAAACTAAGAAATAGGCCTACTGCACAATAGTGTTGCAGAAAGCTGATCAAAGTGTAAATAACATTCCAACTATACTCAATGTGCCAATTAAATATTATTATTATTAAGATGTAGGCTAATTTCCACCCCTCAGGAAAAATGTGCTGAATGTGTTTCTGTACTTAATGAGTTTAATTGAGTCTCTTCTGAAGTCCTTTAATAAGGGTCTTAGGGGTGACTTATGTTTCCTTACATTTTTGTGGTTGCTTCTTAGGCTTCACCAGCCAATAAGGCCTACAGTTGGAAAATGGAAACAGAGGTAGCTTAGTATTTATTTACTATTCTCTAGTCTTTTGTCTTGTCTGGAGCTTAGTTAATGAACCAAGTGATTTCCTACTAAACATCTCCACCTAGTGGCCAATGTGATACTCCATATCTCAGAAGGATTTACTGGGGGTAAAATTCACCCTCTGGGTTTATTTATTTGTTAATTAAATACAAATGGGCAAAAGTCCAAGCAGCCCCTAGACCCTCTTCATATATATTGTTGCTTTATTCATGCATTTCTGAAAATGTACAGTGTATCAAACACAGTAGCGGCCAGCCCATAGGGGCGCTAGGGGCGCCGCCCCCCCTCTTCCCACAAGTTTGATTGTGATTAAAAAAAATATATATATATATATTTAAAAATAAAATATATATATATTTTTTAATGAACAAGGTAAATATTATATAGTTTGTATCAGTAAAATGTATAATCTACAATAAAATCTCGTTTAAAATTGTTTTACGATGTCTAAAGTTACTGATAAGTCACATGTTTCCTGCCTGGCCGCAGCGTGTATCATTACCCTCTCTCGTCCGGGCGGTAGAAAGGAGCCCTCAGCCAGAGCAGCAGCAGCCAACAAGCTGACTGTTGCTATCTGTAAACTATGCCGCCGAAACATAATTTCAGCCAATCAGCGTCGTCAGATCTGATGCTCAAAGGGCGCCCTGGCCTGTGTGTCTGTGAGTTGTTTGGACTCGTATCCAAGGTGACGCAGTAGTTGTCGAGGATGGCTGCGTCTGCAGGTGGAGACTCCGGTGCTAGTGGATCGCCGGAGCTGTAGATTAACATTTACATGCTTATAAGTTATTGTAGTTGCAAGGGCAATGCCTGTAGCACCATGGAGCATATGTGTGGGCTGGACCTGTATTTTACAGGAAAGGAGTGAGCAGAGGGTCGAGTTGTCGATTCTTGTTCAGTTTTCATCTTCCTCACCCTCTCAGACTCGCTACCATGGAAACCAAACAATGGTGTAGCTGTTTATTAAAGTCAGAGTGGAAACAGTCGTGAATAAATCGGATTTTGTCAGCAATCGGAAGAAATGCGGGAGAAATATGACCCCGGGAGGAAACCGGGAGAGGGCAATGAAATCGGGAGTCTCCCGCGAAAATCGGGAGGGTTGGCAAGTATGACACACACACACACACGCACACACACACATAATGTTCGTATTTAGTCTCCTGATTTTAAATGGGAATTAAATCATTTGAGTGTTCCCAAAGCACCAGTGTCCTGCAGTTTGTGTGGGCCTAATGTACTGTTGCACAGTTTTGGAAGATTCATAGCTAACCACACAGAAGATTATGGATTATCTCATATTTTTAAGCCTCAATTTGTCCTCCTTTATTAATGAATAATAAAGTGTGGAAATCCATTCTGAATGCACCGCCTCTGACTCCCGTTCATCGGCTCTAGTGCCAGGGGCGTCGCCTGGACCTGGAAATATTCGGGGCTTAGCCCACAGTGGCGGCGCTACAGTCGAATTTTCTACTGCAAGACTCCCCACACGCACATACACAATTGCGCCATCTGGTGTCACAAACGTGTGCCTGCATTAGCTTTGTTACGGCAATGGATTGTGGGAGATTCTCATAGCACGTGAGGATCTTTTGAGGGTGAGGTGCCTGTATTATCTCGGCCTTGCAACTCGCGCGAGAAACTCGGGTTTTCTGCAGCGTCCTTGACTTCAAGTACCGCAATATGACGCAGAACCCTTGCAGTCCCCTACGTAGCCCGGGACCACCAGTAGGCGCGTGTCCAGGTGTAAACTTTGTGGTCGCATGGCCGTACACTCGAACTTACACCGCCGTGGCACATCGGCCAGGTCGCGCAGCACCGCAAACCCACCCCATTAGGTCGTGCCCGCGGTTGCGGCAAAACCGAACCCTTTGCTGCACGTCTCTCGTCGTCCGGGGTTCCCACCGCCTGTATGTATCTGCAAGCACCAACTAAGCGGACCGCTAAGTTGTGGCACCCCCCCCGCCCCCCCCCGGGACCCATCTGCCCTTGAAGCCACACTGCACCACGAGTGACAACCACCACGCGGCCTCTCACCCGCATCGCAGTCAGACCTTTAAGTCGTTGTCCGACTCTTTTTACAAGGCGCTTCGCTCCTGTCGCAGCATGGGCGGAAACGGTTCACATGTGTGACTCCCTCCTTGCAGTCCATAGTTGGTTCGCAAATAACAATTGCAGTGGTCCTAGGCACTAAAACCCCTTTTCTTTACAGACGGCAGTGTTTTAGGTTCAACTTGCGGCGGAGATTTATGTTGTGTGTATCGGGAGTGTGTGCATGGCACGCTTACCCTCCGGCGGTAATCGGCAGCGGTGGCGCAGGTACAGGTGCCCTGCAAAAAGGGCCAGCTGCGCCCTTGTTGTTGAGCAACTCGGACACAGGGTGTCTTGTCGAGGACTCTAGACAGCGACTTTCTTGTCGGACAGCACCGGTGGCGAGTTCCCTATGACTCGCGTGTGAGGAGCAAAAAGCCTCCGACAACCGGCAGGTTGTCGTCGCAATTTTTAGAAGGTGCGAATACGGAAGTGAAGTTACCCACTCCACTGAAACGGAGTGAAAAGCGGCTTGACGTAACACCCTTCGTTTCGCCTCTAAAGGTCCGTAGAGTCCGGAAGTTTTTTCAACTCGTTACAAGTGAAAACTCGATCCGCCCTCATGTGTAGTTTAGGGCAAATACGTTTAGACTGTCTATGTTTCGCATCGGGTTAGTTTGGTACACATTCGCCTCACTGTATGGCGTCAAAGTAAAAGATATAAGGATTATATTGACCTCCTCTTTAATCACTAACTCCATTCGTAGTGGGATAGGAAATACCAATAAATAATGGCCATATGTTTGCCTCCTTGGTCCGTAATCCCTCCACCGTCTCTGTCACCACTTAACATCAAAAGCGGACAAACCCTAAAATTAGGTCAAATGAAGGCAAAATTAACGAGTAACAAACATGACAGCCCCAGCCCAATACAACCCAAACAACGAGCGTTTTTTTAGGGGTTCGAAGTCTATTGGGGAGGTTCAAAAAATTAAAACCGGACCACACGATGGATTCGTCCCGTCGCTGTGTGAAGAAGCGAGGCGGCTTGGGGCGGCAAACCATTTTTAGAGGACACAGGTGCCCACCATCAGTGCACAGTTCGGAAAATGAAACATCTCTCCCGCGTCTCGCATGTCATCGCGAGACGTGCCCGACGACCCCATCGTCCTTTTTTGCCAGCCGAGAAGTCGGTTCCGTGCCCCACATTACCTTCACAACGATCGCGGCAGATGGCCCTTCCGTTCAACGGCGACCTTGAGAGGTACTTTTTAGACCCCTAAGGGCGGATCATCTAAATTGTAAAAGAGATAATCGACTCTACCGAACCGACATTCCGTCCCCAGCGCATTCCCCCACTTTTCAATTCGCTAAGATTCCCGGGCCTGACTGTCCCCGGTTTGTAAAATCTTAGTAAGTGTTTTTTTCAAATCATAGGAAAGTAGTTTAGTAGTTATAATTGTTATTAGGGGTGTGACTATTACATGAGTGATTTGAATGCTAAGTAAAGTGAAAAAAAGAAGTTTTCAATTAATAGTTCGGAGAACATGGGGAAGATGAATGGTACATTACCAAACCAAGACGGGAGGTTTCGACACACCTATGCGGATAAAGATCGTTCGTCTCACTCTCGGACACTCTTCCCTACGGACATGAACGACACACGGTACAGAGTTGGAGTGTGTTTCAGTTCCGAAGTCTTTCGTTTTCTTTCCTCTCTTTCTGTTCTCTGCTCCCTGAGTTTCCTCTGTCAGTACAGTGGTCAAAAAAGTTTCTTTTCCACCCACACCCATGTACTCACCGAGCCTGTTAATTCGACAATCGATTCCAATCAGGTTAACATTTATTATTAACATTACAAGAACGACTGTAATTCATGAGCAATTATATGTATAGAAGTGTTATTGGAGCTCAAAAGTAAAGTGACGGAGAAAAATCGACTGTAAAGTATTTACGTCCATGAAAAAATGTTCGATAAGAATGATTTAGTCAACAGGTGAGGGGACCACGGTGTAGTCCGGAAAAGTCAAGGTAAAGGCAAAACAACAGGCAAATGTATGAATTATGGGCGAATAAACATCAACCATACATATAAATTATTTTTCTAGACGACGAATACAAAAAAAAAACGATATAATAAAATATTTACTATTATAACCACAATTACAAGTGAAATAAAATTAATTCTCCAGTACCCTACCATATAAGATTCAATATAATAAAACTAAAACCATTTAAAAGGTAAGTTTTACAAATTTTTTCCGTACCATGTCATGTGGTATTTTCTACTGATAACTCCAGATAACAGGTCCTTACAATCACCAATATAGTTTATCACTAAGATGACGTCGTCTTAAACGTGCAGACGAGTCACAATATGCAAGTGGCGAGTCACAGTCATTTATAACCACGCCAATCATAACCTGATGTTCTATCTACGTTGTTCGATCTATGTACAGTCATAGAATTTTCGTATTTGGACTAGCCAAACCCAAGACTCCACACCAATGTCGTAACCGCACGAACGAACCGCGCCGGACACCGGACCTACCACCCCGGTTTACACTATAGAAAAAGGGTACTCCCGGTTTTAGGGACCGCCGCGGGACCGACATCCGGAACTTACAGTTCATAGGACCGCCCGGGAGAGGAATCGTCTATTCAATTTACGGGAATTCTTCTTCCCGGAATTAGCAGGAGGAACCGCGCCCCAGACGCTATTTAGGGTGGTGGACCTACTGTACCTCGAAGGTAGGCCGAACGATGGTGCACCTTTATAAAGTTTAGGGGCAGTGCCTGAACAGCCGTCCGCTTCACATGGAGGTTTACACTGGCTTGATGCGGCGTCGCCGTACGAGGGTTTTGAGGCCGTTGAAATGTTTTTGTAGCGCTAGTCGGTACAATAACTCAGAAGCCTTTGAAAGTGCTTTTGCAGTCCCAGTGGTCACAACTCGGGGTACCCGCAGCGGACCTTCGGGGCCTACAAAAAAGAAAATCGGGGGCCTGTTTAAGAGGGAGTTTATTTATTATGTAATTGGCATGAAATGATCTCCTACCGTCCTAACATTAAAGGGCACAAGTCACCTTACGTTGTCTCCGTTCTGTGGTGGTCTGGTTTAGTCTCTCAACGTACCTTTATTTTGCGACAAAATAACCGACTGTCCATGTCATGGAGACACTCACACAAATTTGAAATTTGACAGCCCCTGCGCCTCAAAGACTCTACCCTGGTAATCTGGTAAAAAATTTATTTTTTTTCCTTTTGCCGTTAAGAGTTCACCCACCGAGTTGTGTTGTTGGGGTCTCGGTGGTGGACTCAGTCCACTTATTCCATACATTTACAGTCATTGAATGTTCAATACCTTTGTACCATTCGTTTCGTATTTAATATTCGATGCAACTGTTAATGAAACTTAGCGACGCGCATTCGATTTGGCAATCGTTCATCGATTATCGATACGGTCTATATCAATTTATTCGTGAAACAGGTATGTTAGATTTACAACACAAAAAAAACGCAATGGACCACTAAAAGTTTCTTTCGAGAGAGCTTTACAACTGAATGACAGTACAAGCTGTGCTTCGATCTTCTGATGGCAATGTTCATGTTGTCAACTAGGACTGAGGACAGTCAATTTCACAAAGTATCAATCGAATCGATTCGTCAGTTGGACGTGACTGTATATACCTACAATAACACTGACATAAAGACTCCTTTCAGTCGACTTTACCACCGTTATCAAAAGTGACGTACAGTTGTCGTACAAACTTGTATAAACGTCGTCATTTACACCGACAAACCGGTGTTGCCATGACTGCACCGGTATGTTGTTGGAACGTTAATTACACGATGGTTGGAGAAAACACGTCTAAAAAACATACTTAATATTAAGAAGACTAACTATAAAGGATTAAACTGTTCGATCAAAGATACACTTGTTATGTAATAACTCTACCTGGTCGGTCGATTGTTCAAACAATCCGGGTCTATGTGGCGGTCAGTGGACTCTTCAGCGCTGCGGCTTTGGCTGACAACCCAGCGGCCTGGAGAGGAGCACTCACCGTTATTGAGAGGAATGATCGTCCGCCGCCATCACACATTTAAAGTAGTAAGTTTTCTCCGTTTGTTGCCTTTGGCTTCCTGTCACTCTTCTTCTTGTCTGAGGCCCTATATTTGTTTGTTGTCTTATCGCACAAAAGAAAAGTAAAAGTGAGAGCAGGTAACTTTTGTTACTTGCTTGTCCTCGAGATATTTTGGCTACTCCACTTTATCGGCAGGGCACACATAAGGTAGAAGGGTAAATTTAGTAAACAAATGGAGGGAGTGCTATTGCCCGAAGAGTACGTGACTAAGCGATCGGACTTGTCGGGTTAGGTCACAATAGGGAAACAGGTGAAGGCCACCACAAGTGCTGCGGCTAAGTTGTACAACTTAGCCGTTCTTTTCCGCAGTCCAGCCGTCTTTTCTGGGCTTCCACGCCACGTGTGGTGAGGCTTATTCCCGCACGGGTGCCGAGTCAAGCCCGGGGCTGAGGGTAAATTACGGCTAAAGCCCGGCCACATAGACCCGGAAATATGTTTATAAAGGCTAGTTTCGATTAGGGTCACCCCGAGGACTTTCCCCGTTTCCTGTGATACGAAGGCTTATAATTCGGAACTGGGGGTAGAATTTTAACTTATACTAGTTTTTTAATAGACGTCACAGCCTCCGGAAAAAAGGAGTAGTACAGTTTAACATGTCGAAGGAAATCAAAACTTACGTCTTTCTACTGATATAATCTCATAATTCACCTTTTACTGATATAATTTCACAATTCACTTATATAAATGCTGGCACCGTCAGCGCAGGCGCCGACGGCAACATGACTGGCGGCCTATATGACAGGATTCAACCGGCTATTGAATGAGAATTGCTCCAACAATTTTCCAAAGAGTTACATTTCAAATTGATAAAAAGTTAACCAATATAATGTAAAACACTGTCACACCCACTGTGAGTAAAATTACTTCTGAAACACTTACCACACATAGAACTTTAAGTAAATAAACTGTCTCCGACCTTTGACTAACTGGAATGTATGAACCAAACACAAATTGATGTGGTCAGTAGTGTCTACTCGTTTGTCTCTCTCCTACTTCTTTCCTCTTGTCCTCTTTCCTGTGTGTTCCTTCCTCTCTGTTGTCTGTTCTTGCCTGTTCCTCTGTTGTTACTTGTCGCTTTGGTTCTTGTCTGTCTCAGGTTACCATGTACTGACTAATCCCTGACTTCTATGTCCCGGTTCCGTTCACTCTGTAGTGACCGAAAGGTAGGTCGTACAAACCGTCGTTTTCTCTAGTAAAGTTGGCGTTTGTGTTCACTACTCCCTTTCGTGTTCCACTACCTTTGACGGTTCTCTACTCCCTGACGTTCTCTACTTCCTTCGTCGTCAATACCGAGGAAGGTAGGTAAAAAAGTCAAATTAGACTAATAGATTGTTGAAGATTATTAAGCTCGTATGAAATACTAAATTAACCTTTTAATTTCACCAAATTTTATTATTATGGGCAAAGACTAAGACTAAGAAACTGAAAAAAAAACTGATACACAATTCTCTACATTAGGCTATAGAGAATTACAACGAGAGTTACCACGGTGTTCTAACTACCGAAAATTGAAGTTATAAATTTTTTTTAGAAGGACCCCCTGGTCTCCTGCACTCACAGGGTTTGCCCTGTGCAATAGAGACGAATACATTGCCAACATCACGGGGAGCCGTTGTCTAGTGAGTCTCCGACCACTAATGAAAGGACGTAAGTTACCTGTCGTATATTTTTCTTGTGTACTCAGTAACGTAGAGAACAAAGGGTGGGGGTCTCTACCGTATGTAAAGTCTTTGCGATCTCCATCCTGTTTGTTGAACAAGCGCCGTACAGTATTTGAGACAAACTAGTTTGAGAATCGCCCTCGAAAGTCGGGAAGCGTTTCCCTGACCTTTCTACGAAAAACTTTTAGTCATAGGTTAGATGTACGAACAGTACAAAGTCTGTGCGAGAGTGGTTTGAGGTCCCGGACGTGTTATGGACGTCTGTTCTTTGTTAACTGACCAGTCGTTCTAATGTTTTTGTCGTCAACTCTTGTGTGACTTTTCAATAGGCTTCATTGTGCTTCGTGTTACTCCAGATACTGTTCTGGCACGGACAGTACTAGAACTATAAGGCTTTGACACCTGTGCTCCTTTCGCATTCTTTGTACCTTCTGAGAACAACTCCGTAGTAACTCGTTACACTTGTAATTTGTATATGTTGACCACATGTGTTTAGTGTGTGGGAGCGTACAAGTTACCTGTCGTATTTTCCGTGCACTCCCCAAACAACGAGCTAATCGATAACTACTAGTGCAACTATTTAGTATATTTTGTTATCGGTTAGAGTGTTTTTTGTACAAACGACACTGACACTCGTAATTTGTTAATTGTAATTTGATTTGTTTGTGTTGTCATGCAATAACAGCAATATATTATTTTTGTATGNCGCTACCATGGAAACCAAACAATGGTGTAGCTGTATTAAAGTCCGAGTGGAAACAGTCGTGAGTAAATCTGATTATGTCAGAAATCGGGAGGGTTGGCCGGCCACACACACACACACACACACACACACACACACACACACACACACTTTAAATGGGAATTTAATCATTTGAGTGTTCCCAAAGCACCAGTGTTCTGCAGTTTGTGTGGGCCTACTGTACTGTTGCACAGTTTTGGAAGATTCATAGCTAACCACACAGAAGATTATGGATTATCTCATATTTTTAAGCCTCAATTTGTCCCCCCCCCCTCTAACATCACCAGAAGTCATAATTTAAGGGGTCATTTCTAAAAAAAAACTGCCCTAGTATGGTTGTCACCATTTCCATAGCCCCACCAAAAATATTTTCCACCAGCCGCCACTGTAGATTAGTATTAGTGATAGTGATGTTCAGCCATCTCTGTCTGGTAGCAAACTCTCACAGTTTCATCAAATATGTTTATGACAGAAAATGAAAAATGAGTGGCAACCCCTGGCATGGAGCGGTGTTCTGGTAAACATTTCTTATTTGTAATTAGGATCGCAGTCTGAACAGACGATGTGTTCACTTTCACAACAGAACTGTTGGACTTGTATTAACTCTGGTGCGTTTGCCTGTTTGATTTACTCCACATGGTTCTGTTTGTAATAACCGCCTGAACAAAAAACAGACCTGAATATGGATTTATGATAGCATTTGTTTGTATTGTGATTTTCCTGTACTATAATTGGGTTCTTGTGCAAGTACTTTCCCTGTATTTCTATTCAGTGTGTATTGTATTCACCATAAACTGAGGAGAATAGAAAAGCCACTTCATTAATTGTTATGTCTGGGAATAATGTTAATGTTGGCTAGACAGTTTGTATAATCTTTACATTGCATTTAAATAAATACCACTGTTTTGTATAGTTGTGTATTAATTTATGCTTAAGGATAATGCTAAGGTTTGTTGTTGTTTACGACGGGGATTCATACCATAAAGGTTTCAGTGCAACCGTGGATGGTTAAACGTTTTTGATTGTGTTAACGTGCTAATGGGCTATCGTGCAAACGTGTTATCGTGATAATAACCTGTAAAAGTTTCAGTCTAGTTGTGTACTGTCTTTACTGAATGCAGTGTTATAGTTTGGTTTTATCACGTTGGTAGTGGACCGTGTAAGATCCAATGTGGAGTTGGACTGTGAATTACTTTCAATAAACCTTCTGTGACACCTTGGCCTAAGAACGACCACACAATTATCAACAATATACAAATAAAAAAAGGGATGGTTCTCTGTAGGTCATTTACTATGATGGCCACCTCTCACATTTGATACATTAGTTAGAAATAATGAAGTATGGCCACTTTAAGGACATTTGTTTACCTCTATGTTCTGGACCATCATGGCGTTGTTGGAGAAGTCAGTAACCTCAGCCGAGTTCTCCAGAACCTGGAACACCATGTGGCTCCACTGAGCGAACACCAGCAGAGGGTCCTGCAGGATGTTCCTCAGGCCCGACTCAGACTCTGAACACAGCCTGGTGGCTCTGCTCTTCACACTGCAACGTGAGCAAACAGCACACTTACAACAGAGAACAGGGACCGATACTGGAGACACATTTTGACTGGATTTTACCCAAGCACTCCTCGTTATCATTATGAGGTAGGAAGTAGTTCTTAGTTGATAAGATTTCCTAATAGTTTGTTTTTTTCATTTTCAAGACCTTTGTTTATATTGGCTTGTGGTCTTCTTTACTGACACTCACTGTTAATATCAGAAAGGCACCCTTTTTCAACTGGGTCTTAGTTTAATCAACTTTGAAAGCATCATTATTTAGTTTTCAATAGTTGCAAATCCCACAGGGAGTAGTCCAGCTTGGAAAATTGAATACAGAATTTCTTTTCATTTAGGAAACAAAAATAAAACGAATGCACACACACACCGTTTGCCATCTGAAGCAATTTGGTAAACGACCACACTACTTCATAGCCACAGTCCCCCACATAAATTACTTATAAATTGTATTTATTTCGTCAGCAGAGGAATTCAACTCAAATTGACTTTGCCAGGTATCATCTACATGTATTCAAATCCCTGATGTCTGAGCCTGTTTATTGATAATTCACGTTCACACATTGCAAAAACAATCCTAAAGTTAGTGGCACACTGCAACATAAACAAGTAACTTTTTACTTTCAGGTTTTTTTAAACAGCTAGAGACTTCCTGTCACAAACCTCTGATGTTCTTTGACAACAGCCAGGACATCATGAGAAAGGTGGCGTGAGTCCTCTGAGAACCTGAACAGCTCTTTGAGCTGAGCCTTCAGTAGTTCCACCTGGGACTCCTCCCCTGCCAGAGTGTTCCTCACCCCCTGCAGGAGACACAGGAACACCAGCAGCGTGAGCTCCAGATAACAGGATGCTGTGATAATGTTAGCACAGACAGTAGTCGTACACTTGTAGTTCAGGCGTTTTGTATTCCATTTAACACCATGTGAACATCAATTAATTCAGACCATTAAACATAAAATAACTCAGGCTTATTGTCTGTGGCAAAAATGACTGCAGAGTGAGTCAATTACAACCCAATATTAGCATTAATACAGTCATTCAGCCTAATAGAAAATAGCTATAGACCAGGGGTATTCAACAAAAATTCAAGAGTTAGAGAAAATGTCCTCAAGCAAAGGTCCGGAAATTCATTATGTCTAACCTGCATTATGAATAAGTAAAATATACAGCTCTGGAAAGAATTAAGAGACCACTGCAAAAGTATCAGTTTGCTCTGGCCTCTATTTATAGTTATGTGTGTGAGTAAAATGAAGAAAATGTAGATCTGGCTGAAATACTAAGCAGATCATGGCAGCATCCCACAATCCCCTCTGTTTCAGCCCTGTTTCCAAAGTGCTGATTCTCTGTCTGTTACGTTTAGATGAAAATAAGGAGCCCCTCCCCACGCGCCTCTGAGAGAGATTTGGTTACAAAGAACTCAATGGTGCTCTAGGAGGAGATTCAGGTGATAAGGTGGAGGGGGGCGGGGGGGTTGCCTTGTTTGGTGATTGGCTAATGGTTACACAAGCCAAAACATTGTTCTGACATCATAAAGTGACCAAAATCTGATCAGCTCTCTTTCAGACAGGTTTTTATAGAAATGGATCAGGACAAAAAGAGAGAGAATCTTTGTTCCTGAAACTTTCAGAGTCTCTTTCCACAGAGGGGACACATGTTGATGTATAAGAGACATGAAGAAGAGGGGACACATGTTGATGTAGAAGAGACATGAAGAAGAGGGGACACATGTTGATGTAGAAGAGACATGAAGAAGAGGGGACACATGTTGATGTAGAAGAGACATGGAGAAGAGGGGACACATGTTGATGTAGAAGAGACAGGAAGAAGAGGGGACACCATGTCTCTTCTACATCAACATGTGTCCCCTCTTCTTCATGTCTCTTCTNCATGAATTGCCAAAAAAATATAAGAGGGAAAAACAAGACTTTTGCTAGATTTGGAAGGTATCTAGACTCTTTTAACGCGACTCTTTTCTGCTTTTTGTAACAAACCGAAGACTATACCGCGGGTAATGACTTGAGTGCTTGCAAGAGCGTTTTCCATAGCGTTGACGAGCGCTGCTAGACACACTGCAGTTCGCCTTCGACCGAATCTGTATCACCTGTGACTTTCGCACCCTATGACCAAACGGTATATACCATACATCGATTCGATTGAAAACATACATTTGTGTTAGGCGCCCACGAAATTTAGGATCATTCCCACACTGGTACACTGCTTTGACGGCGATCTATGACACTTCACATTGGACACGCCCTTGCACTAGTTCACGCGACCCCTTGTAGCTTGTGAATCGCTTCTCGTGAACTCCTCCTTTGGTGTTTTACTTTGTTGAGGTGTACGCCGGCCCGTCGGTGTAACCGCCCGCTACCAAACCCTGGTTTTATTGTTGCTAGTTCCATTCGACTTGTTATGAAAACCTCCTAAAAGTCAAGTCCTTATCCGAACATTTTTAACCGTTAAGCAATCATTGTGTACATCTCAAGAGGGTCATGTTTGTACCACATCCTGTGTTCAACCTTCCCCCGTGTTATTTGGACTGATCCAAACTTAACACTCAACTAATACTCAAATAAAAGTTACTATTAATCGAGTGTTATTCAAGTGAAATCAATGAGTGTGTTGAACTGTGTTCAGGCCAGAATATTAGGCCTGGACTTGGACTTGGAGACCTTGAACTCAGGCCTGGACTTGGGACTTACACTCAGGTCCATGTCTCGTGATTAATGTCACATAAGAAGGGATAAGACAGGTATGGGGTCTCTATAATAGAAATGACAACTATGACTATACATCATATAAGCGAATAAAATATAATAATGGTGCGGATTCAACTTTGAGCTAACACTAACCAGTTACACCTGTAAGGTCTCTAACAATTCAGAGTGATTGTCTGGCACAGTGATTCCTCTTTTCTGGCAACGATTCCTCCTGAATACACGTCACTATAGTTAGACTCTTTCATAGGCCAGCAAAAGATTATAATGAGGTTTTGCCTCCCCGAAAAAATATGATGTAAATAATAATTTCGGAAAAATGTAAATACAACTTTCGTCTGTGGGACCGAGAGCCATCTAGCACAGCTGTTCCGGTTTTAACCGGACTTGAACCGAAACTTTTTACAAGTCCAGTACCGGTTCGGCGTACCGGTACGCAGCACTAACTGTAATAGACCGACTTATGACTAATACAAATGTATAAACACATAGGATACTATATAAACACACATTATATAAGTCAGTGGGGAGTCTCAGCAGCTCTTTAACAGTAACACTTCCCTTCTGTATATGATCTGTGTTATGATCTAACACATGTTCTGTATGCTGCTGTTTACACCAGACTCACTGTAACATAGACACTGGGAGGCTGTTTTACTTCTACAGCAATTACCGGTGTCTTCTCTCAGAAGTGACCGGTGGTGAAAGTAACTAAGTAGATGTACTCAAGTACTGCACTTAAGTACAATGTTGAGGCACTTGTACTTTACTTGAGTATGTCACTGTGTTTTGTCCACTACAGTTCAGAGGTAAATGGTGTACTTTTACTTCATGTATTTAATACCTTTAGTTACTTTACAGATGTGGATGAATGATGTGAAATATAATCAAGTGTTAAATCAGACTTTAGTTCCACCTGGAGGTAAATCTTTTGGGGAAATGGTTTTAAAGTCCAAATATGTAACGGCTATAATAATTTGTGTTACTGTATTGATGTTTAGTCCGGTAAGAAGAACTCAGTTACCCATGGACCCCTCGTAGTTCTCCGACTCGGTTCCCAGGAAGCTGTTGACCTTCTTCACGGCGGCCATTTGCACCTCGAGGTCCGCCAGGTTCCTCACCACCCAGTTCAGATAGTTAGTGACCTGAGGAAGACAAGAAGGACGCATTGTTATTAACATAGTGTTTATTATACAGCCCAAACACAGCAGCTCCACATTTACAGCCTTCAAACCAACCAGAAGTGCTCTATGATACCTGTGCTAACACCCCGTTTAAATGCATCTTACATTTAGACTTTAGACCAGGCTTACAAATGTTGGGGTTGTGTCCAAACTACAAATAGATTTATTAAGTGGCTGCAGGTTTCATGTGAGTATGTTTCTGGTAGAGCATGGACAATATTAGGACTAGTATAAGCGGAAATTAAAAAGATCTTAAAACGGTAAAGTGTTCTTAGTGTTGTTTTTTAACACTCTTTGGATTTGTCCGGTGCACACAACGTGATTGGTTGCTGCCTTGAAGATAATAAGATAAGATAAGATGTACTTTATTGATCCCAAATTGTGACATTTTTGCGTTGCAGCAGCATCAAAAACAAGGCATTGCAGATAAGTAGAAATTAAAAGAGTAGAAATAAACAATTCTAAACTGTAAACATCTCAAAATAGAAATAAAAAAGCATTACAAAAGTAGAAAATGTGCAAGTTGACCGTGAAGATAAAGAAATTGATAAAAACCTGACAAATAGAACAATATTGAAGGGTTGATTTTCAGTTAACACAATCATTTATTCGACGTGCAAAAGCACAAAAGACATCTAGGAGAAATGAAGCTGCTTTTTATGCTTTTGTTCCGAGTGTAATATTTGCGTTATTCTACGTGAAAGTAATCAAAACAGTTCGCAAAAACATATTGATGTGCAAAACAATCACACGGTAAATATGACCCTGGTGTAGTGCTGTGTACCTGGACTCACATTCAGGTTCAGGTCCGGACTCAAGTCCAGAGGTTCAGGTTCAGGTCCGGACTTGTGTCAAGTTGTGTGAGTAACTAAAGTGAACTTATTGTGAGCTAATTATCAATTGAAAATAAACTCATGATCAACTCAAATTCAAACTCGTCAGGTTTATTGTGCCCCCTTCCAACTTGTGTCTACACCATGTCTTTTCTAGAACTCTACATGTGTTACTAACTACACAACACAACTACATACATAGTGATGTACATGCAAGACTCAATATGCAAGAGTACAAGTCAATGTGTTCTTGTTCAAGAACAACAACATATTGACATTGTCTGGGTGAAGTGTTGCTCTTTCGGCAGACACTATATCACCATACATACAAAGGAGTTAGCTTAGCTACACTACCATATATGGCAACCAGCATCCCACGCTGTCAGTGTCCACTATGTCTAAGCCAGCTTCGCTTGACGTCACACAGATCTCGCGAGCAGTTGCGATATTTTGCGAGACTTCGTGAGTTCTGTAATGGCCGCCATATCAGAAGCCAAAACAATGTTTTTCGTCTTTTCTCAGCGCAAATTTCTCGATCTATGGAAGGTTTTAGATGGTTTAGAACACAAAGGAGAATATACGTAAGTACCGGTTCCTGACGTTCCGGTTTTAACCGGACTTGAACCGAAACTTTTTACAAGTCCAGTACCGGTTCGGCGCACCGGTACGCAGCACTACCATGGTGTGATAAAGTCTTTTGAGTTCAATCAAATCAGAATCAGGTTTATTTCCAGGTAGGTTGACACGTACGACATACTTGCCAACCCTCCCGATTTTCACGGGAGACTCCCGATTTCATTGCCCTCTCCCGGTTTCCTCCCGGGGTCATATTTCTCCCGATTTCTGACAAAATCAGATTTACTCAGGACTGTTTCCACTCGGACTTTAATACAGCTACACCATTGTTTGGTTTCCATGGATTTCTGAGGTCTCAAGGTTGTCAAGTATGACGTACGAGGAATTTGACTTGATGTCGTGGTGCATACATACAAGCACAACAACACAGATAGAGAACTATCTTAAGGAAACTATAATAACATTAAAAGATAAAGAACTGTATAAGCAT